CGGTTTCCTTCTTTATCATATCATACCATCGTTGCGGTACTCTGGTGAGCTTATCCACTTGATTCTCACTCGACGTTACTAAACTTATCGTGATCAATAAGTTATACTCTTGAATCAGCTTTTCAAGAGTACTCAAACGTCTCCGGATCAGCATCTCACTTGCCACCTTAGTTCATATTCTGGCTTTGCCAGTGAGCATTTTTGATACCCACCGGTGCACACACACGGAGTCCGTGAAGAGGTGTAGCTCCGTTGCGCTCCACTGTAATGCTAAATTGACACCCTTCAGAATAGCATCCAATTCTGATAAATTGATAAGTTGGACATCCTTCACAGGTCGCAGCCAACATGCGTCTTCTACAACGCTTCCGTCAACCTCCAACGAAACCCCTGTGGTGAGAGAACTTGCATCGACCCATACCTTATAAGCATGTCCGCTTGTGCACCACTTACCGTGTGCAGGGTCATTCTGGCGTATTCTTTCCACTATGTCCTCAATCATGTTCTTAAGGGGAGCATCTGTCACTTCGTCGTCCCAACCAGACATGATCAATACTGTCCTGCGTTTTACAAATGATGCCGCAACTCAAAGCCACCCACATACAGGAACGTGACCCACCAGATTGCCACACCACGAGAAGATGTTACATCATGTCAGGACCTCAGGAACTGATGGAATGCCATTTTCATGTGTCCACTTAAGCGTGTTGTTATCTTCTGCAACGTGAAAACCCAGCACACATGTGCCGTCCCGTAACTCCAGATCCTTACAGGTCAAACCAAACGCAGCCAAGTGCTCTTTCACGCGAGCTGCTTAAATCATGCTCTCGTCAACATAAATATCATCAATATATGATGAGGTTGCCCATCAAACTGACTCGTCTTTCGCCAATGCGGCATCCACAATGGCCTTCATTATGGCTGGTGCAACATTCAACCCGAAACCCATTCGGGTCAAGCAATATCTTCGCCCCTTGAAGATTACAGTTTGAAAGGGCCAAAGTGACTTATGGATATGTACTTGCAAATAAGCCTGCCATAGGTCAAGGATAGCGACTTCCGGTCTTTTTTTGTGCCACTCCCTCAGTTTCTGTGCGCATACATCAGCATTGGCTGTGTGTGCGTCAAGACACTCATTCAGCTCTCGATAGTCTAATACTGGCTGCACTTTATTTTTGTTTTTCTGCACCACCGCCATCAATGGAATTAAGCCTTTTGGAGGGTCGAGTTCCTTTTCAGGATAAGGCTGCAACCAACCGTTATCAAGCCAGGTCTGCAGCTCACAGTCGTATTCCTCGTTGACTCCCTTAGGTATTGGGTACTCGGGCATCCGATTTCGCAAACTCTCCAGTGATCGACCATTAGACCACTTCCATGATGCGACTCATATCTTCTGGCTTGGGTCGAATTCGGCACAGAAATCAGGTTCTTCTATTTTAATGGCGGCACAACAGACTAATTCCACGCTTGGGAAACTGTACATTGCCACTCTCTGTTATTTGGATTCTGCCCAACTTTTTAATGGCGTCAAACCCAAGCAACAAGTCGAAAACCCAATAGCTCTCCATCCACTACCAAGACTTTGATCTTAAGGGGGTTTGCATTGTCCACGTCAAGCTTGATACTTCCAATGCCGCAACATTTGAGAGTATTTCCGTTTATGGTGAGTATGTCCACCTCTGTCTCCCGCAAGGCTTAACAGGCTGACTTACTCACGAGTGTCTGTGAGCAGCCAGTGTCCACCAGTGCCACTCTCTTAATTCCATTCACATAAATACCCAAGACAGGTAGCGCCTCATTCATAACTCGCTTAGGGAAGAGACCGGACACAAGGAAGCAATATGGCCTACCTCTTGACACCGGAAGCAATGCATTGTTGCACGTGACCTGCGTGACTGGCAGGCATCTTCTCGTCGAACCGGGCAGTCCCTGGAAAAGTGATTCCACCCAGACGTTTAACATATGGATGTTTATCAGCTCCACCTGGTAAAATGGTAGCTGCAACCATTTTCTCAGTTGCATTTTGATCTTTCATTATGTGTCGAGCTCGGTCCAACAGTTGGTTTGTATTCATGTCTTCCATCCTGGAAGATGCACACAGTAGTTGCTTGACGTGCACTGGTAACCCTGCTATGAACGCACATGCTAATCCTTGCTCGGATATCCCGCCAAAAAGACCTGCTAGCTTCTTCAAGTCGGCTAGAAACACGTCGACAGATTCATCCGGGTGCAGTCGGTGTTCCACGAACTGCTCGTAAGCCAAGAAACGATCCGGCGCAAAGGCAATCCGCAGGGCTTGTTTTATCTGCTCAACATCTGATTTTTGGTCTGAGTTTAACTGTTGGTAAACAGCAAATGCTCCACCCGTCAACCTCAGAGGAAGAACACGTTCAATCTTTTTAATCCCACACAGGTCACAAACAAGTTCTGCCTTCCAATCCATTCAGTAACTGCTTGTCCGGTCACTGACCCATCAAACTCGGGTATTAACATGATGTCAAATGTCTTATCCGTCATACTGCCGAAATAGCTTGTAAGCGTTCTGAAAGCAAAGGAAGTAGTTGTCGCAGATTACTTCCACAACACAAAGAAAAAATCACTGTAAGTACAGACTCGAATATCGGGGGCAGAAAGAAATGCTGAAAACTCGATTCGCCGGTACTATCTCAAATCACAATGCGTGTAACCAGTCAGAAAAATAACTCACTCTCAAACAAACGCCGTAGCCAAAAATGCCTGAATTTTCCGCTCCCAAATCGAGAACACCAACTGCTTTTATCGGCAGAACCTATTTTTTTCATTCATCGACAACTAGGATAGGATGTTCAGTAATTTGCATATCAAAATACTTTTATAGCGACTCCTGTGATGGACTTGTTTTATTTTTAATTCAATTATTCCATTTTCAGCATGTTATGCGGAATACGTGCCCTTCTGTTTGGTAAGTAATTTTCTTTTTCGCCACTTTTTCTGTCGTAGAATACACGCGACGTGCTGTCGCTTGGTTTGACAAAGTAAGTCGCCGTTTTCTTCACTATATTGTGAAGCTGAGCACCTGACCAGCTCCCTCCATGTGTCTTGGTTGCATGCTAATGTCTGAGTCTCTGTGAATGATCTTCCAGGCCACTCAGTGACACTGACAGCCCATTTTCCTTCTACCAGCCTCCTCTTCTTTTGCTTGTGGTGGTACCTTGTAGGATGGTAGTGGAAAGATTGTTGGCACATGGTGTCCATACCATTTCAACTTTCTCTTGATGATGATTATGAGGTCTTTCACTGAACTTGTTTTTTGTTTGAACTGATACTTTGTATAAATTTTCTCAAAAGAGACAGATAGGTAGCTACTAAGTAATCAATTTTTTAAAATTCATATTACATCCACTAAACACATTCACATGCTAAATGCACAATGCAAATTTGGATATCTGCTTACTTCCTATATGTGCTTTTACTCTTTGTTGTGTTAATATATGCAATGCATATGAAAATACTGTATATACTCATGTAACATGATCTCACTTATCATGCAACCCCCAAATTTTCACTTATAAAAAAAGATTTTATCATGTATCTTGTGTATCATGCAAGTTCCTTTTTTGGAGAGACCAAATTACAATATACTAACCTCTTTTCCTCTATCTCTTTATCCTATCTTCTAGTTAAATAAGTTAAAAAAGTGAAAGAGAATGATAAAAATATTGTTAATAATACTATACTTGTTGCACAAATGCATACAGCCATAAACAACCAAACAAGAAACAGCGAAATATCTTATAAATGTAAACAATGGAAAAGATGCATATTTGCTATGCTTGTATTTTATAATATGATATAATATGTGAATATTACATGCATTATTATTGGATATAGTTAAGTAAAACATAAGTTTTATCAAAATCATATTTATTTTAAATACAGCTGCACTCCCTTAAAATTAACTTCAAAATTAGGTCTTCAAATATCACATGACACGTGAGTATATACAGTAATCTATAGAGGCTACAAAATTTATTAATGTTATCAAAATGGACTTAGTAAAACTGCATATAAGGAAGAAACACAACAAACAAGGAGAAGAAGAGCAAGATAATAAAATAAGTCACTGTAAAAAGGTGAATCGAAACAATATCAATAATAAAAAAAGCAAATAACAAAAAAGAAGTTAACCAGTTGCCAATCCTCACTATTCTGAGCCAATCAAGGACAAACAAAAATATTATATATTACCACACTCCAATTATATTAAGACCCACCAGCCATTCCTTCTGCTTACAGGCTGCCTAGACTTAATGCATAATGTCTCCAATATTCTCAATGGTAACTGGTGTGCTCCCTGCTGATTATGGTAAAGAAATCCCTGGTAAGTGACAGCACACACAGGTTTATTTATAGTGTCCAACAATTGCTGAGCCTGAAGTATTATCCAGCTTATGCAAATTATCAAATATCCTATCATGGATCTTAGCCACACATGCAGATCTATTCCAACCTTTGATTAGTTCTACCTATATATTCAACTTTGCACTGACATTTCTAATTGTAAATAACTGAGATCACATGATGCAGAGGCAGATGTCAGAAGTTGGGACAAAAATAATTAGGGTTAATAAAGGTTTTGACATATTTGTTTAACATAATATGACAGGTTACATAAACATATAGCTGTTAATAATCTGTCCCAGAAAAGGTGTTACATTTGCATACAAATTCCATACACTGAATGTAATGACTATTATAGGACAGAGGTAGTATTAGAAAACAAAATCCATTGTTTAAGTGTTAGAAACCAATAAATTATAATTTTGCTCACCTTGACATGGAACTTGGTGATCTGGATTCACAAGTTTCCGAAAAGTAAAAGAAGTCCTCATTTCTCGTTTGACCAGAGTGAGGGCACCATCAGATAAAGGAACTATGTCAGATTTTCTTGGAGTAATACCATGAGACCACACATAACGAGATTCACCAGTCATTATTAAGACACTTCGGCAAGGTAAAACCACACTTCTGTGTCTACCATCAGGATGTTGGAAATCCATAACAACCTAAAATAAAGAATAACATTTATTTCAAAGTAAACCTTGAAAACATTGAAAGAAGCAACATTCTTTAAACCAGTGAAGTTATTGTCAATAATTTTGTCAAGAGTCATTAGAATTCCATGAATTGTTCAGACTATTCTTTATGTCAGTTTTCTTATTAGTATTCTTATGCACCAAATACAAGTGCTGGTATGATTAAAACTATATTCTTCAATTCTCCCATTGGAGGACATAGTCATAGCAGCACTAAAAGGCGAGATGGAAATTAAAAACATTCTGTGCAATGTAGTACAGTAATTACCAGTTACACTGAATGCAATTAAAGAAAAAGCAGAAAAGGACATCTTTATTGCTAAAATAAAGAAGCAATTAAAAGAAACTAAAAAAGTACAGAATCAAGAATTGAACACATACTCGATATGTGATAGTGGTGTAATGTATGGACAAAGAATTGTAATAACGAATGTGTTGCAGAAACGTATATTAAAAGATTTTCATTCCAGACATCATGGCATTTCAAGAACGAAATCTCTCATGCAAAATTTTGTATACTGGACCGGAATGGACTAAGATATTAGAAAAACAGTAAAAACATGTAGAGGTTGTGCCCTAGCAGCAAAACTACCTATCACAAAAATAGAAACTTTGCCAAATACAGACACTCTGTGGTCAAGATTACATATAGATTTTGCAGGTCCTATGGATAGAGCATAGATTATCTAGTTGTAGTTTATAGTTTTACAAAATGCACAGAAATTGACAAGTGCAAAAATCCTACATCCTCAGTGACAGTGAATTTCTTGCATGAACTGCTTGTGAGATATGGCATAACAGATACCATAGTATTGGATAATGGAATACAATTCACTGGAAAAAAATTTCAAGACTTTTTCAAGTTGTTCTCTATAGAACATATTACGACCCGACCATATCACCCATGGTCTAATGGACAAGCAGAATGGTTTGTGGGAATCAAAAGAGCGTTGAAAAAAGCAAGTCTGGACAAATTAAATGAGGAGGTGCTTCAGAATTTTTGAGAGTGTATCAGTTAACACCTAATCCCAACAAAATATCAGGCATGTCACTGTCAGAATTAATGTTTGCCAGAAGGATATAATCGGTGCTTGACAAGTTATTGCCAAGTCGAAAATCACAAACAGTTAATAAATGCAACACCAATACTTTCTTTAGAGAATACAAGGATGGAAAGGAAACATGGGAAGACAGCATAATAGCAGATAGAATTGGAAAATTGGTCTACATGGTGAAAGGAAAAAATTCCGAGATAAAAGGCAACAAAATCAACACTGAAGTTTAACTGAATAATGACCTGAAGAACCAGTTAAAATTCTGTACAACATTTTTGATGTGCCAATACCAAAATATGTTATGGAACCAACAAGGACAAGTTCTAAGAAAAGAAAGCATACAGAAGAACTAGAAGTGAATCTGAGACGGAAACACTACAAAGTAAAGGATGTTGGTGAACTCTCCAGAAAGAGGAGGGGGAGATACTAATATGAAATAAAAATAAAGTAGTAACCTCAAAAAGTGGGGAAGGTGTGGAGTAAAGAGTACATCCCCAGTGACTCTATGAACTCATCCAATACTATAAAGATTTCCATGGTACAATTTCAAGGGTAATCGTATTAGAGTCAGTCTTCATACTAACTATACAGGCATTATGGCAGTAGCCTAAGCATTACGTATAGAGGTTACTTTAACAAATTACATTATACCAGGTACAAGTGTATGTGTTATAACAATAACCCTACAATAAGAAGTTATAAAATATGTGTGTGTGTGTGTGTGTGTGTGTGTGTGTGTGTATAAAATCACTTTAAACATTAGTTTTAGTGGATACTCATATTTGATTAGACGCACCATTTATTTATTAAACAGTATATTTATTTATTTTCATCTACTGGCCTGAATGTTCAAGAAATCTTATTAAAGAAAAATTTATGATTTGAATGCGCATCCTCTGAAAAGAGGAAACTAAATCCAGAACACTATGAACAATTGAGCTATAAAGAACCAATCAGTCAGACAAGGCTGAAATTGTATATTTAAGTGAAATTTCTATCATCATAGATCTCCAGAAATTTTTCATATCTGCACAATTTCATATCCAGATTTCTAAAAGATTCAGGCCAGTAGATGAAAATAAACTAAAGATTTTCTTTTTTGGAAAATTGCAAGAAAAACCTGACAAACAAATTCTCCTTGTTTCTTTTATCTGAATTTCTTGTCATCCATTTTCAACTAAAAAACCTTCCTGTCGACGACAAACTGCCTTACTCTTCAGTTTAGTTACACATGTCACCTAGTAAGCACATTTTAGTAAAGTTAGCATTTACTAGAAATTGAGAAGTCTTTCCATTTATCTCTTTTTGTGATGGTTCTGTTGAAGATTTTTATGAGAGATATCCTATCAAAATATTTTTTAATAATTTCAGATGTCTCCAGAATTATGATGATAATAATTATAATTTACATAATTTATACACATTTTAAATAATTTAGGATTAACACAACAGCTGCTTTTCCAATTAAGTCACAGAAAGTTTCTGGCTGTAGTTTAAATCTAACCACTCCTTATTTCCCAGATCACATAATCTCTGGCACTATCTTTTTTTATTTGTATATGCATACATGCATTTAGTAGTTTAGCAATAATATTTTTTGTGGGATTGGAAATTCTTAAATAAAGCATTGTCAATTATTATTAAAAGTATAAAAGAATATTTACTTTGTCTTAAAAGCAAAAATTTAATTGCAAAAATAATAAGTATAACATACTATAACTACTTAAAATAGATAAAAACCTTATACACATTAATTGCTAAACTTAAATTAAAAAATTTCAAAAGAGCCTCCATTTCTTCAATTAACTTTATACTCTTGATAAAGCAAAATCTCTAACATCTCGCAATATTACTTAAAAAAAAAAAAAAAACACAGAAGAGAGAAAACGTCAATCAAAAAAAAAAAAAAACTGTGATGAAATACCAGGTAATCTGCCAACAAAACAATAAGTTACTTCCCTTGGATTCTTAAGAAAGATAACCTATGTATATTTTTTTCAGAGTTTTCTCCCTTGGATAACTTTTCTTTTTCTTGATTAGATTTTTCAACAATGTGATTATTAAAAATAAATAATAAAATAATCCTTCGCCATTAGAAGAATATTAATGATTTCATATTAAAAATGAACGGTTTTTCCGAAAAACCGACTTTTTCCGGTTTTATCTTCACACCGTGAAACCGCATCGAAATTTTTTACGAAACGGAACGATTTCACACAAAAACAAACACTATTGAAAAAGTCTTTCAGATGTTAATAAAATTAAATTATACCAACATTTATAGCATTGTAAGAGAAAGAGATTGAACAAAAATATGTTAAAAACATATGACATGATGTCTGAAAAATGAAAATCTATTTGTTTCAGTTTAAAAAAAAAACTTTTTGTGGTAAAATTAAGTTAACAACAAAATAGTGAGTAAAAATAAAAAATTAGTTGCTAGTTTCATCTTAAATGTTATGAAGTCAGATTTCTTGTAATTGTTTTCTAGTAAGCCAGTGTAATGCCAATCACAAAATAAGTTGTTGTAAACAAGAAAAATGAATGAAGATTTTTTTAATAAATAAATTTGGTTTTTTTTTTCTAGGGAATGCACCTATATTAGATATTAAGAATAATTAAAATAGTTCTTAATTTCACTTTTAAAATGTGTACATTTCCAGATATCTAGTGTAAAATTGTTTGTTTTCTACAAATAAAATGGTTTCTATCTAGCGAATACACCTAAAATTAGATATTAAAAAAACAAAGTAAGTTTTAATCTGTTTTAAAATGTGTATATTTTCAAAACTGCAAGTCATTTTGTTTTAAACCCAAAGTAAAAATTCTTTTTTAGCCACTAGTGTTCAGTGGGTGTTCTACCTATAAAATTCTTCTAAACAAGGAAAATTAATTCATTTTATTTTTACAAATATCTTTATGGTTTTATCTAGCGAATACACTTAAGATTATATATTAAAATGATTATAAAATAGTTTTTAATTTCAGTTTTAAAATGTCTAAAAAACATGTGATACTCGCAGATTTGGAAATATACACATTATAAAAATGAAAGCTTTTAAATTAAAGCTTTTAATTATTTTTAATATTTAATTTTAGGTGTAGTATTCGCTAGATAAAAACATATTTATTTAGGGGAAAAAATAAATCATTGATTTTCCATGTTTAGAAGAAATTTATTTGTAAAACCCCAATAACAGTTGATTGGCGTACCAGAAAAGAATTGCTGTATTTTTAATAATTTTAAACATGACGGGTTTCATTTTTTGGCTTCTTAAAAGCTACATCATAAACTAATTTCTGGAGAGCTATACCATTTTATTTTCTCTCTCAAAAATGTATTGTGCAAAGACACAAATAGAGATATTTTATGCAACGATTTCTTTTGTATTTTACCAATTTGTTAATAAATTTGGTAGTTATTTATAGTTGACAATTTATTCAAAAGTTTAATAAACTTTAATCAAAGTCATGAATTCTATGACTAAATTACTTTTAAAGCCTAAAAACTGACTTTAGGCAAACAACTACTACTTTATTACCCACCCTGATATTTGGGTTTTCAATTCTAATAGTCTTTAACGCATGTCTATAAAATTTTATTACCCTTTAAAACCAAATATTGACCTCTTACACAACAGTTAACAGACTTCCACAATGACAGACATTTAAAAAAACGACACTCAAAAGTTGAAAAGTATGTGGAGCATTTATTTTATGCGACAAGACAGTAGTTTCAATAATTTGAAAGTTCTTTAACAACGCATACTATCAGTTAATCTTTTTTTTTTTTTTGCTGCTTACTTTATAATTTGTGAAGGAATTCACTTTCACCAGTCAGAGAAGAAATAAACATCTTCCTGGTTGTAGCTTAAGGTGTCTTCTAAATTAGAAGATTGAGTGTACAATTTGAAGAATATTGATAAAGATTGGTCATTGATTTTGCGAAAACAAGTAACATGAAAAAAAAAAAAAAATTTCACATTTTTGGCTGTTCAAAGCAAAATACCATTTTAACTCACTGTAAAAATATAATTCAATGTATGAAAGTACATACAAATTGCATATTTAGAAAGATTATTTTATGAATATTTTTAAGATTGGACCAGAAATACACAAGAGTCTGCGAGATGAATGGACTAAGTTGCAAATTTGCAAATTTCAAATGACATCAGATATCGACTGGAAATACTATCATTACACAAAAAAAATGAATGGCTTTCTTAGAAAGCAAAAATACTAGATTGAAAATCGAAAAACCCAATTGAAAAAAACGGTATCAAGGAAAACAAAACCGGAAACCAATACTGAAACATAAATTGCCAAACTGACCAACTCTACTTCAAATATAGGTTATTCTGAAGGTACATTTTTACTGACGTTATTATCTTTCACTTTAAAAACAGTTTTGAAATAGGTCCATACACAAATGTAATTTATTAAAGGAAATGTTTCAAACAAGGAAAATAATTATTAGAAAATTGCTAAATAATATACATGCTGCCTAAATATAAAGCAATATCTTTAGAAGAAATATGCTTTTTATACACTAAGAATTTATAATTCCAACTTTTGATAAAAATACACAAGACTGAAATACATTGGAAATACTAATTACAACAAAATAATCACTTTCATTCCTACCAACAATTTAGAATCCGGATACGAAGATAAGCCTTTATAACAGAAATAGAAAGAATGTATGAAGGTGGACCAATAAGTCTATAGCTTGAAACAGTAGAATTTTTATTTTAATTTTTCACTGTATAATTTAGGAACTTTTTCCTTTTTTAGTCATTTCACTCCAAGTAAGGCAATAAAGCCACTAACACACAAGGGGGGTTACTGAGTATGAGAGAATATAAAAAAAAACATTAGGGAGAGAGAACAATAAAAGAACAGAAATTAAGAAGACAGAAGGTAAGGATTGAGATTGCATTTAAATTTTTGAAGATCAAAGTTGACTGTTAAGCAAGAAGCCAATTGGAAAGTTCCATAAGCAAAAAGTGTAAGAAACTGTTAATACAGAATTGTCTGTTACATCTAGCCATTTCACTCATAAATTGATGAGAGAGACCTTGCTGCAAATCTAGTACTGTGCTTACATTCATAAAGTCAAGGTACCATAGAGGAAAATTCATCAGAACAATTACCATGAAAATATTTATAGAAAAGGCACAGGGGATCTACATCACAACAGTGAGAAAGTGAATGAAGGTGAGATGCTATGCCAAGACCAATAACATTGTAGATTCTTCTTTATATCTTATCAAGAATCTTTAAATACATAAACAATTTATTTGACCTATTGAATAAAGTACATTGACAAGAAAATGGATTATGTCAAAGAAATAAATATTTGCTGTATAAAATAAATGGTTGTTTCTTAATTAGACTGGACTACAGAGTGGCAATTTACTTTTTTTGTTGCTATATACATGCAGGCCCAAAACTGGCAATGGCCTGTATAAACAAAAATATTGTTGAAAACATAATCTGCACTTCATAACAATATTTTTAAATAAATGAAAATTATTAAATTCAAATCAAGTTTTTGCCAATACCTTTAAAAATTTATTATAAAATATTTTTCTTTGTTATTTAATTTACAATTTGTTGATTAGAGGTTTTTCTTTTTAAAAACAAAGTAACTTTTATAATTCTATAGTTACCTACTACAAGGGTGAGCTTAAAAATTCAAAGGCTGACTATGAAGGAGTGATGCTAGAACGGTGAAATCTTGCATGCATTAATTTCAGCTCTTCTTATTAATAACTGAATTGTTTCTTTCCAGGTAAACTGATATTTGACTGTCCAAAGAAGACTTCAAATGTAACTAGTAGCAACTTCTCTTAAAAATGGACAAAATTTGGCATCTTTACCTGCAGAAAAGGGTTTAACCCCCAAAGGACATTCATGCTGACATGAATGCTACATTAGAGGATGATGCTCCAGCTTTATCAACAGTACAAAAGTGGGGAGCTGAATTTAGGAAGGAAAGGAAGAGTCTTGAAGATGAATTAAGGTTTGGAGATCCTGTAACTGTTGTCCACCAAAGAAAACATTTATCATATTCACCACATGGTGATAGGCAATTGACAATAAATCAAATAACCAATGCTATTAGCATATCCCATGAAAGAATTTAGAACATTCTGCACAATGAACTTGGCATGACAAAGTTTTCTGCTTAGTGGGTGCCATGTCTTCTGACACCTGATCAAAAGTGAACGAGGCTGATCCCATCAAGGGAAAATCTGACATTGTTTGAGACAGATCCAGTTGATTTCCTAACCCAGAATGAGTGTTGGATTTATCACTTTGAACCAGAGACAATCCATGCAATGGAAACACCCTTCCTCGCCTGCTCCAAAAGAAGGTCAAGGTTATTTCATTGTGATGGCATCAGTTTTTTTGGATGCATTGTGTTTATTGGCTATCTTCAAAAGGGCCGCACCATCAATGGAGAATACTATGCCAACTTGCTGAGGTAGTAACGAAAGGCTATCAAGACCAAACTCCAAGAAAAACTGAAAAAGAGGTATTCTTTCATCAGAACAATGCTACAGTACACAAATTCTTGGTTACAATGGCTGCTGTGTGTGACTGTAGCTTTGAATTGGTTGATTACCCTCCTTATTCTCTTGATTTGGCCCCACCCAACTATCATCTGTTCCACAACATACTTGGCTGGGAACCAGTATCACAGTAATGATGACATCATATCTGGTATTGATGGGTTTTTTCCAACAGGATGAAAGCTTCTTCACCAATGGGATCCAATCACTGCAACTCTGATAGAAGAAGTATGTGGACCACCAGGAGGACTGTGTTGAAAAATAAACCTCATTTAGTCACATTTCATGAGAGTATCTTGGTCAGCCTATGAACTTTTCACCTGACCATCATATTAGAATGTTTTGTAAAAATTAATTAAAAGGTATTGATGAGCACTAAACTGAAATCATAAACCAACTCACCTGTGAACCCAGGCTAACAGAAACAATTCCATCCTCAAAAGCTGATGGTGTATCAATATGTGGTGGAATTCCTGAAAAGTTAATTGTAACTTGTTAAAGAAAATAAAAAAAATAAAACTCAATATTGTTTTCTTAATTATTCATCGCAGTTGAGTTTCATTAAGATTTTGATTACAAAACTTCAATCTATATTGAATGATAGAAAACAAACAAACATTTTTATGCTATTGTCCACCCGATACATGACCCAAGAGCCACTCAAGGTGGAGGGTTACTGAATAAGTTTTCTGTAAGAGCATAAAGAAAGGAACTAAGAAGTGCATATTATGAAGATATGTAGGATAGATAACGGTTGACTCTGGACTTGAAGAAGTTAAGATTGTAGTGTTTGAGGAAGCATCCTCTCAGGAGACCGTTCCACAATGTAACAGTTCTAGGAAAGAAGCTGTTTGAGTGGAACTTCCTCCTTACCAATGGAATACAAAAGGAATGAAGATAATTCAACCCTGTGTATATGACGTCCTAGCTATGAAGATCTTAACTGGTGGAACTAAGGAATGTAACTCATCTGAATATTTGTTATGAAAATAGCAGTAGCATAGCAATGTTTCTTCTATAGCAAAGGAGTTACAGGGTGGAAATAATTCATCACCCACAAGGCTGTGTAAAATCTTTTTTTGAAATTTAAAAACAATATATACTAACTTACAGAATTAGACATGCTCAGCTAAAGTGCAAATTTGTTTAACAAAATTGATTATTCAATGCCTGAAGGTTCAGGTTTTCTCATACAGTAAATTTGTGTATAAAACTTTGCAACATTGAGTTACTTTCTAGTCTAAACAATTTATCATCACCACAATAACGTTTTATGATCAGCAGATTCTTGAAGGCATGAAATCAACATTATTTCACAAGTTAATAATTGCAGTGCATATGCATCAGTACACATTAAACATAACGAAAATTGATTGCTTTCAAACTGTTTAAAAGAATTGTCTCCCTTGCACTTTTTACTTTCGTTTTAAAATAAATCTATGCATGCATTAAGAGATCATGCCATATTGACAAATTCAGAGTACTAACGTCATAAATTTGTTCTTTATTGGGTACTTCATTAAAGTGATCGTCAGTCAAAACTGGTTTTATTTCACAAATACCTTTTGACACTAAAGGTTAAAATAAAAACTAGTGGATAGTTTAATGATTAAAGGCACAAAACTCAAACTCGAGCTGGGTCAGTTTGAGTTCATGTTGCACTGATGCCATTGGGGAAGGCATGAATCTACTCCTAACTATGAGTAAATAATAGGAAAGTTGAAGTTTTTTAGCCCCATAAGACAAGCCAGCTTGAGGATTGCACTCATGACTCAGCCTCATAAAAATAAACCACAACAGCAGCATCACCTGGCGTGATTGCAACAAGTCTACAAGAAAATAAATAAAGAATAAAAAAAAAAAAAAAATCAGTTAAATTTAAACTTAACCATTTCACAGCAGCTACTCTCCTAACATTATGAAAGTAAAATATAAAATTTTTCATTTTTTTACCAATTTGATCTACATGGAAAGAGTATAAAAATAATCTACAATCTCTATTGGCTTATACTGATAGTGAGCTAAGTACACCAAAATAGATAAAAGAAAGCAACAAGAATGTGTTTTCTCACTGAATCTGTACAGCAAAATGTTTACAAGAAAATTACAAGACCTACCAGAATTTCTCATCAGTAGATGTGTAAACATACAACATGACCCTCACCCAAGCTGCTTTCGATCAACTGGCCAATGATCACCCAACGTCGCATTTCAATCCTTGATCTCGTCAATGTTCACCAAAAGCTGGGACAAGGGTATAATGCATGTTCACAAGGTAACACAATGAAAGACAAATGCTATGTCAAGAAATACCCTGTTTCCCAAATTATATGTCACTATTTTATTCAGGGCCTTGCCTGCTTGTCCAGGTGCATAGGTAGGTAAATACTTGGGACAACTTTTGCTATGTCAGCACCCACACCTCTACCAACTCCTTGCTCATTTACTCATCCTGACATGGTGATTAGTATTACAAAATGGAGGCTTTGGAACTGCATAGTAGCTCCACCAAGAGCAGACCAGAACTCTCACCAATCCTAAACATGACAATATAAATCAGCATGTGGATATTTTTGTTGCTATCTGATCGCTAAAAAAAAAAAACCTCATCCATCCCTTTACTTCTACATTACCTTTTTGTTGGGTAGAAAGACAACCAACCTTCACTACACTAAATTGTTGAACATAGACTCTTCCACTCACTATGAATAGGAGTGTTGCTCATAGGAACATGATCATAAAGTGTGTCATATACATTACTACACTACAGTATTTACAATTACTGTATTATTAATCCAAGTGATTTAACAGTTTCTTCACTAATCTCTTGTGCCATTGTTTTCCTTGGAATGTTATCAACAAGCATTATAACACCTTTGGTCAAAGTCAATGCTGCTTAGAAGACCAAACTTCAAAATTGAATAATTAATAGGACGAATTTGATACATCTTTAGCCTAAAGCAAAAAATAAAAATGAAACATTTTTTTATGTACCTTGTCCAGGTAAATACTGGTTAATTGTCAGCTGGTCGGGGTAATGACTGATGAGACCAAGTCGTTGAAGTTGCAGCAATATGGCATCACATTCTTTTGGAATTCTTTCAGGCAAAGGGTTATCAGGATCAACATTGTTTATACCATATTTAAATTCATAGCCAAAATGTTTTACTCTTCTGTGCTTCAAGGTATTTTCAGCTTAAAAAAAAATATTCCCATGATTAACAAGCAATAACACTGAACAAAGCAGTTATTAAATATTTTAAGTAATTACAGATAAATTAAATCTCAGTATACAGGCAATATCAATCAAAAGTACAGTTAGATTACAATTAGGTTGAGTTATAATTTCAATTTTTGGGAATCAATTGTAATGTTGAATCTATCATCCCAACTGCTAATCATGCATGACAATTAAGAATAAATTAACAGACCTTAGTTTTTGAATGGCAAAACACAATAGATTAAAGGAAAAAATGTTGTTCCTCATGACAACACAAAGCTGCATACAGCAAGAATTAACAAAGGAAAATATTTTTGAACTTGCTTAGTCTGTTCTACCTCAAAGGTCATATTCAACTAACCCTGCATAAACTGATTATCTTTTCTGATCACTGTAAAACACTGATAAGGACAACTTCCTTTAATGAACATCAGATTCAAGATATTGTTGAAAAGTTTTTAACATCAAAACCTGCAGAATTTTACTCAAAAGATATCAAAGAGCTATATGATGAGTGGCAACAAGATATTACAAATAATGGGGAATATATAATTGAATGAAATGTAGCTATACTTTATTTTTTGAAGAATAAAGTTGATAAACAAAAGCAAAAACTATTTATAACTCACCATAATAGTAATTAATAGCAAGTAAATTATTTTTAAGCCCAACTAAGCAAAGCTGACTCCCACCAAAAATAAAAAGTAGTCCAACCCAGTCTTAAGAAGAAATTCTATATTAAATATTGATAACAGCGTAACCTCATTTTGCTATACTTTTTGGTTGAGCAAATATGAACCAAGAGGCTTACAAAGATAATGCCGAACTTGCTTGTGAATATAAAAACAATAAGTAAAGCTTATAAATTCACAAGGATTACTATTCTATCATGAAGAGAAAATATACAACTTACCTTTTAAATCCTGGTAATCCCAATTTGCAAGTTCTAGCAGCTGCTTCTCATAATTCTCACTGATCAGGTCTTTCTTCAAGATGAGACCAGGGGGGAAATCTCCAGATGGGTAAGAACACACTGGAACTAGACAAGAGACAATGCAATGGCTTTAGTTAAAGAATTATAGATGAATTTATCTCTTCTATAAACAAGTATCAATCCCTGAAGAGAATTAAAAGTATACTCAAAAGTTAGTGATAACTACAATTGCAGGTGAAAAGTAATGTCATTAAACAGGCATAAAAAATATTTCAATATGGCACAACAGTGGTGGCCTATAGACATCAATACAGTAGGTGTGACATTTTACAAGTGCTAGACTGAACACTACAAGAAAAGTACATGGTAACCAACTTTACAAAACAAAAATAATAATTGTTAAGACTTAATTCAAATTTCAGTTAAAATCTTGTTTATCAATTCAAAAATTCGTTGCTTCCTCAAAAGAAAAAGATCAAAGTTAATGAGTAACTGGAGGTTTAGTTACTAAAGTTTATTTTTCGATGGCTATGTAGAATGAGCTGGTAAAACTCAGCTCAATGAAGAAATATAACATTCATGAGAAGAATATCTATTTATATCAAGAAAGTAATGTCTCATTTTTTAACTAACATTCAGATAAATCTGTCAAAAATACAATCACCATTATTATGACAAAAAGCTACTATGAAACTAATATTTATTACTTGTTGAATTCTTGGCAAAAAGATTTCTTAAAGTGCTGAAGTGATTTTCTTTTCTCTACCTTTAAATATTTTACTACAAAGAAAATGTTTTAGTGATCTGATTAAATAGGAAAAGTATTACATCAATTGAGTTAGGAGGGTGTATGGTAAATTATCCCAACCAAATGATTTGATCTTCTCCCCTAGGTATTTGTTTGTTTTTTTTTACCTAATTGAGCTTAAATTGTCATTTTGAAGAATAACATTTTCTGTTGACCAAAAATGGAGATTCTAAATTTATTTTTCTTTCAATTCACTATGATTCCTGCCTTATTCTAAGAGCCTGTAATACACAAAACTTATCACAATCCAACAACTGATCACCAAAACCCATACAATGGTGGAAGTTTGACTTAAATGTTGACATTACTTTTTCATTCAGAATCTCACATTATTTTAACAAAGAATAAAAGAATTAATTTTACAATAAACTTTTGTCATTGTTAATGTAGGATTACCCTACTACTAATGGATTTCGTTTAATTCCATCAGGTGGCATGGCAATCATCAGTATAAAAGTAAAACTCACTATTTCTACCTTTAGCTCTATGATACAGTAGATACAAGAAATTGTCCAGTCTTCCTCTGAGATGACACTCCTCAGGCAAATCACATGATGTACATACACACAAATCTTATAAATGTTTTATCTTTCCTTGTTTTTTTGACCTATGTGTATACATGTAAATATAATTTTTTCTTTCTCTTTTTTGTGAGGTATGTTATTCTTTATATACATATATATATATATATATATATATATATATATATAATTTTTTTTAAATATGTCTCAAAAAAATAATTATATTATGCTCTACTTTGCATTGAGCAGTTTTTTTAAATAAAAATATGTTGTGTAGGAAACCTACCACCCCTCTTGAAGATGAACTTGTCTACAAACAAAGACGTTAAATAGTGGCATGTCAAAAGACAGACAGAGCCGGAGAAGTTCTTGGCTGAGTTAGTTATAGACTACTCAGGTGATTTCTGTACCTACTTACCAACCGAATAAACCCCTTTTTATTGTTACGTGTTATTTGGCGTTTGTCTTTATTAACCCCAAATCAACATCATAACAGTGGCGACAAGAGATTCGTTCATCACGCTGAGTGAAGAATTTTTCAACTCTAGGTGAACTATATAATTTTTTTTTCTCGCACTGAAAGAAAAAAAAAAATCAATACGTCGAACTTTGTTCTTCACGAAGAAATAGGATTTCAACGTGCCAAAAAGAAGTAAGACTTGTACTTATTGTTGGATGTATGCGTGTTTTTCCCTTTTTTTGACTGTTTTCGAAAAGTGTTTTGTGTAATCTATTATGCATAATGGAAGATTTGATTGCATTAACGAAAACTCTAGTGCAAAGTCAAATTCAGCAACGAGAGCAACAAAAATTGTTTCGGGAACAACTATTGGATTTACAAGTTCAGCAGCTTAAATGACACAAAGGCTTTATATGAAGCAATTTTACTTAAGAATCCAGTAAATTCGTCATTCACGGCAAGGTATTGCTAATTCTATTACTGAGTTCAAATTTAACCCAGAGGAGGGTATAACATTTCCTGCATATTTCAGAAGATTTGAAACAATATTTGAAAAAAAATGAAGGTTGGACTGATGAACAAAAAGTGAATTTACTTTTACAAAAGTTGGGTACAGATGAAAATAATAAGCATACGAATTTTGTCCTTCCAAGAAAAACTAGTGACATTTCTTTCAAGAAACTGTTAATACTTTATCTAGTATTTTTGCGGCGAGTTAGTTTGTTTCATACTCGTTTCGTGTTTGAATATGGTAAAGCGTGACTATGAGGATGTTGTTACATATGCTGGAAATGTTAACAGAATGTGTGAACGTTTTATGTTACATGATCTTTCAATTGATCGATTTAAATGTTTGATATTCATTCAAGGCTTGACTTCTAGCAAAGATAAGGACATAAGGTCCCGAATATTGGCAAAACTCGAACAAAATTCCGAGATTACTTTGCAGAAGGTTACGGAAGAATGTCAAAGAATTGAAAACTTAAAACATGACAATACACAAATTGAAGAAAAAGACGTATTCTGTGACCATACTATTCGACCAAAAAAGGGAATAGTTAATAAAAACGTTAAAAAACCAACATGCTTTGGATGCGATGGTGGTCATTTTAAAAGTGAATGTTTTTTTCGCAACAAAAATTGCTATTCGTGTGGCAATAAAGGCCATATAAGTACTCATTGTAAAAGCAAAAGAAAAAAATTTAAGTCGAAAAAAGATGTGAATATTGTATTGTCACGTCAGGAGATTGAGGAGGGGCAGAAAAGAAAATTTGTACAGGTAAAAATTAATGGAAAAAATGTTAAACTACATCTAGATACTGGAAGTGATATTTCCATTATTAATACAGCAACATGGATCAAAATAGGCAGACCATTGCTTAAAAAAACTGAAAAAGTGGCTCGCAGGATTTCTGGAAGAAAATTGCATTTTCAAGGTGAATTTTCTTGTAATATTTCTTTTGTTGGTAAGACACTAAAGTCTAAAGTGTATGTGCTACAAAATGCTTCAAATTCGTTTGGAACAGATTGGATTATACTGTTTAATTTATGGGAACTCCCTATAAATTCTTTTTGCAATAGAATTAATGTTTCTTCTCCGTGTAAAAATCGGGTTACAGAAAATTTTGTGAAAGATCTGAAAATAAAATTTCCACAAGTATTTTCAGAAGGTCTTGGATGTTGCAAAAAGGCGAAAGCAAAATTCGAAGTGAAAGAAAATGTAAAACCTATTTTCAAGCGAAAAAGAAATGTGCCATTTGGTGTTGTGGAACAGATTAACAAAGAATTGGAACGGCTTGAAAATTTAGGAGTTATTTCACGCATTGAATTTTCAGAGTGGGCCTGCCCTGTTGTATATGTTAAGAAAAAGAATAATAAAATTCGGATGTGTGCCGATTTCTCTACGGGTCTAAATGATTGCTTAAAAGACCACACATATCCTTTGCCTTCACCAGAAGTTTAAGTGGAGGAAAAATATTCTCTAAATTGGATTTATTGGATGCCTATCTCCAAGTGAAAGTGGACGAAGAATGTTCTAAATTGTTGACTATCAATACACACAAGGGTTTATACAAATTAAACCGTCTGCCTTTTTGTTTAAAAGTATCCCCTAGTATTTTTCAGCAAGTTATGGACACTGTGCTGGCAGGGTTGGACTTCGCCATTGCATATCTTGATGATATTTTGATAAAAAGTAAAGATCGAAATGAACATATGGAACATATTAATCAGGTTTTTGAAAAAATTGAAGAATATGGATTCAAACTTGGAGCTGAAAAATGTGAAATTTTATGAGTGAAATTAAGTTTTTGGGGCAGATAATAGACTCTGATGGAAGAAGACCAGATCCGGCGAGGGCAGAAGCGATCAAAAGCATGCCATCTCCCAAAAATGTAGTAACGTTACAAGCGTTCTTAGGACTTGCTACCTATTATGGGATATATATTCCTAATTTGTGCAGCCTTATGGCTCCATTAAATAAATTTCTTAAAAAGGGAGCAAAGTGGGAATGGTCAGAAGTGTGTCAGAAGGCGTTTGACAAAATAAAGAATATTTTGACGTCGGAATTATCACTAACACATTATGACCCTAAACAGGAAATTATAGTGGCATCGGACGCAAGCAGTACGGAATATGTCAAATTAATTTTGCATAAATTCAGAGACGGCAATACGAAGCCAGTGGCACATGCATCAAGGACATTATTACCCGCAGAAAAGAAGTACTCTCAAATTGAGAAAGAAAGCTTAGCTATCATCTATGCTTGTAAAAAATTCCATAAGTACATACATGGAAGAAAGTTTATATTGCAGACCGACCATCGCCCGCTGCTTTCAATCTATGGTTCGAAGGGTATACCTACTCATACGGCAAACCGTTTGCAACGATGGGGAACCATTTTGTTGAATTACAATTTCAAAATGGAATTTTTATCATCGAAAAATTTAAGCCATGCTGATGGTTTATCTAGGCTGATCCCAACGTCTTGGAACCGCTAGAAGATACGGTGATAAGCGTCGTTACAAGCAGAAAATGAATTGGTGGAAGTAATGCATAACACAGTAAAAGAATTACCGGTGACATTAGATGAAATAAAATTAAAATCAGAAAATGACATTTTATTAAAAAATGAAAGAAGTTGGAACTTCAGAAAAGTATAAAACTTCTTCACCAGCATATTGAATATGTGATGAAGTGCTGTTATATGCTGGAAGGGTCGTGATACTGGTTGTACTACAAAAGCAGATGTTGAAGGAATTTCATCAGGGGCATCCTGGTGTTGGACGTATGAAAGCCCTGATGAGGAGTTACGTTTATTGGCCAAATATGGACAAAGACATTGAACAGGTAGTTAAAACTTGTAGAGGGTGTCAAATGGCAGCCCAGCACCGCCAGTAAAATACACACCATGGCCAAAAACAGATGTTCCATGGACCAGACTCCACATAGATTATGCTAGACCCATGAATGGTAATTTTTACTTGATAGTTGTGGATAGCTATTCCAAGTGGCCTGAGGTTTTTAAGTGCAAAAGACCAACTGCTTCTGTAACAAAAGATTTTCTTACAGAACTGTTTTGCACGGTTTGGAGTACCAGAAAAAATTGTCACCGACAATGGAACTCAATTCACAGGAAGTGAATTTAAGGCGTTTTGTAAGACTCTGGGAATTGACCATCATCACTTCACCGTACCATCCTAGGTCAAATGGACAGGCTGAACGGTTTGTTGTTACGCTCAAGAGAGCCCTTAAAAAACAAATGGTACTAATAAAGATGATGGTAATATACAGCAGTTTTTAAGTATATACAGAATAACACCAAATCCAAACACAATATCAGGGATGTCTCCAGCTGAATTGATGTTTGCTAGAAAAATTAGATCAGTGTTCAATAGGCTGCTGCCGGAAAGAAAAAAAGAGTTACCAGAACAAAACGCATCAGGAAAATATGAAATATTTCAGGCCGGGAGATAAAGTTTTTTTAAAAATTACAAAAATGGGAAGGAATTTTGGCAAGATGGAGGGTAACATAAAGAATTGGTAAAATGTTGTACATGATAAGAAGTAAAAAATAGACGCACAAAAGACATTTGAACCAATTAAGGAGAAGAAACATTGAAGAAATGAGTAAAGAAAAAGAAGAACCAATGGAGGTATTATATGATTTATTCGATATACCAACTCCACCATTGCCTGAAACAGTTGTCCAAAGAAGGACAAGCAAAAGAAAAAGAACAAGGGTGGAACGTTTAAGTCCAGATCCCAAAAGGAAAAGATATTAATTCCTCCGGAATTAATCTCAAGGGGGAGGTGTTTTGTAGGAAACATACCACGCCTCTTGAAGATGAACTTGTCTACAAACAAAGACGTTAAATAGTGGCATGTCAAAAGACAGACAGAGTCGAAGAAGTTCTTGGCTGAGTTAGTTATAGACTATTATGGCAGTTATTTTACCGGAAGTCATTTATTTATTTATTTGGGTTAAATTATTTTTCTTGTTTTTATTTATTTTTTGTTTCTTATTTTATTTATTTTTTTTTTTTAATCGGTGTTTTTATTAACATGGTAAAAATTTGTTTATATCACTTATTTAATAGTTTTGTTTTGGTTTGAGAATTTAATTAATGCTATTTGTTCGGTTTTGGGGTTGATTGTTGTAGTTTATTGTAACTATTACTTTGGCAGGAACAGTTTTTAATTTGTGTTTATTTGGGTTGATTATCTTTGTTTTTTTCTAATGGTAACTTTATCGAGATTGGTTTGTTTATTTATTTACTTGGATGAATTTAGGTCAATTTATTTTACTTGTGTATTTTTTCTTTTCAATTTTTAAGTAACGTAGTATTTATTTATTTATTTTTACTACATTAATAAAAACACCGATTAAAAATAAAAATAAATAAAAACAAGCAAAATAATTTAACCCAAATAAATAAATAAACGACTTCCAGTAAAATAACCGCCATAATAGACTACCCACAATGCACCACTGACCCGTATATATATAAATAGCCGAAAAAAATAACAGCACACATGGCCTGATGATTGCATATAGCATGAAACAGACTGTCGCCTCTAAGTGTTGACTTCTATGTTCCCTTTTATATTTATACACGCTCTATCTTTGATATTGAGCACTTTATCCCATAAATATAGCACACCTTAAGACTATATTTCTTCATATATATATATATATATATATATATAATTATAAAACAGTTATTAGTCAGAGTTAAATTAGACCAGGAAACAGTTGTATTAAAAAGTGCTCAATACACATAAAGAAAATAAAAATTTAACATGGAGAGCTTTTAAATTTAAAAAAAATTAGGAGATCAGCCAATCACGATACCTTGGTTTCAACATTTCAGTTTTCCTCAGGCAACAGAACGCCAAATGTTTTCCTAATGCTTTATTATTCATATATGAACATACAACATGAAGTGTAATAGAAGAGGAGGAGTAAGGCAAGAGTATTGAAATTATATTGGAGGGGGAATAAATAAATTGTACATACTTTCATGCTTTTTTTTCTTAAAATCTTCTACATGTTGAATTCATTTATTTTTAAAGTCTTTAACTGTATCCCTTACAATCCTTAACCCCGTCCGCTACAAATTGGTGATCAGTTTTGTGATATGAACATGTAGCTTTTGCAAGACAAAATCCATTGACAGGCAAGATGAGGTCAGTCTGTTATGTGCTATATGGGATACATGCTTAGGCGATCATGTATTTTTCAATACATGACTGACGAGACAAATTTTTTCCCACAGTACATTGCCATTTCTTTCTGTGGTAGACCAGTTGCCATCCAAGGCTATAGAACCTAGTCTGTACTGCTATTTACCCATAGCTGGGGGGGAAGAGAAGAGGATTCATACCTTTCCCAAGATTATTAGCACATAAGTGAATGAAATGGATTTGACTGGAATTTGAACTCGGCTCTCCGATTCCTCAATCCGAGCCACTATCCATTACACCACCGTAATGATTATTTTCTTGACAAATTTAACATTTGTTACATTTGAATGTTTTCATTCCATCTGCAAAAATGTGACATTACTTTCTAAACCTAATATATAAATATATCTGAGATCTAGAATATGATGACGTATAATTCAAGTGACAAAAATAGAGGATTACCAAAGAAAATACATTTCTACTTTTCAATAAGTGTACAGTCCAAAATATTCTTCTCCATAATGTGCAACACTTTCACCACCACAAAGCAAATAATCTGATTGAACTAACAAATGTTTATTGTGCATGGATTCCTATATAATGGTAATATCAGCCATTTCCTTATAAGAAAACATTCAGCATCCATTAACCGAGCTGCCAGTGCTACTTTCAGTTGAAATTTTTAAAATCTTTCTTTTAAAGCAATTTTTCATGAAAATAGCTTTCCCAAGTTCAGTTATTGTACATTCCAGTATTCATGGGATCTTCTTTCCTAACTTTTTGTTTGAAGTAGTGTGGAACATCAACATCTTGATTATATGGCTAGGTAGAACTAAATAAAAACAAAAGGTTCCTTGTCTTTAATGAAATAATTCACTCTACTATTACTACCCCCACAGGATGTCAGAAAGAGAGAGAGGTTGACAATAGCTCTAACACGTCCAAAGGTGAACTGGAACTGTACAAAGGAGGGCTTGCTGAAGTTCACTTACGTCAAATTGGTTTATAATAGTTTTCCTCTGTTAGATTAAATTTTCCCAAAAATTTTTTTATGATTTGACTCAACTAGTCTTTACTTACCTTGTTTTACATATGAAATGTACAAATGGCTTCCATTGCTAAGTCTAGCACCATTCAGCTTGTTGCAGACCTGTACTGCTTCTTCCACCTGGAGGTAGTAGACAAAAGAATATGGTCTTTTGGGTAACATGATGATGTTCTCAATACTGGCATCTTGGCTAAAAATCTGTTCAAGCTCTTCACGGCAAACTCCAGTGTCAAGTCCTCCATTAAAAACACAAAGGATCTACAAAGCAACAATATTCACATTTATTTTCTATGATTTTCAGAAGAATAATTATCACTGCAAGTAATGTTTTGATTACTAAATACATTCTTTTTTTCTGTTGTTACCACATTTCAGTCAATTCACTCCTTGGGTGTATGGATGTGCAGGTGGTGTAATCGTTAGCAGTTCAGAATGAGAAATCAGCAAGCTAAGTTCAAATTGTAGTTGCGTTTGTTACATTCACTTTTGCACAAATACTTTTGGGAATAGTATGAATCCATCTTTTCTCCCCATGTTATAGGTTAAATAGCAGAGCAGACAGGGCTCTTCAACCATGGTTGGGAACCAGTCTAGGAGAAAGACAACACTGAATTCAAAACTGATTGGGTATAGGGCTAGTAACTCCATCCCATAAAAAACCTACTTGCTACAGAAACCACAGCAGCAGTGCTTAACTTGTTAAGAGATGTGACCCCATACTTCTCAGTGCTGTCTACAGGACTTGAAAGAGAATCCTCAGGTATATAAAGACAAATGAAAACAGAAGGGTTTTTTTCAAAACATGTTAGCAAACAGAAAAGAATGATGACAAGTCTAATAATTAGATCTGTCCATTCCCTGTAGCAAATGCAGTACAAGTGATTCTATTCTCAATAAACCATGTAACAGGGGTGATTCCATGTTTCTATTTTCTAAATTCTGCAATTCCTTCATTGTTAATCAAAAAAAAAAAAAAAATCTACACTTACCTAGTTTTACACATTTTCCTTCAATTTTTCAACTCACAACCAATGCTCCTTATTAGCTGAACCTTATCCAAGAAAGGACAATGTAATCCCTCCACCCTTCAGATATGATTTCTATACCTGACTTACTTCATAAAGTGTGATACAAGTACACAACCAATTTTCTAGAACCCTTAGTTTCAGAGCCGTGCTGGATTATCCACTTTGCCAGACCAACTTAAATAACATAATAACAATTTGATAATACACATGTGACCACTATTTATGCATCTCTCATATCTCTACAGCATCATTGACTGTTAAAAACTTATATTAAACAATTAAGTGATTATACACAACTTGTGGGCACCTGGTACATTAGTTTGGCAATTGTATGAAATTCAAAGGCTTGTTTGCAATTTTGAATGGATTAAGAAGTCTTGGGGTCATATATTACTGGAAAATTAGTAGTGTATATGTGTAATTTTTATTTATCCACATTTCTTATGAGAAGCCAACTTGAATAAGAAGGTTACGTGTGGTTGTGCTACTGAAAACCACTTTGTTTTATTATATTATAATATCCATAATTGCGTACATGAGTTCAATAGTCCAAAGAGCTCTTGTAATATTCACATTTATTTTTAATTATCTTCTCTTTATAACAATAAAATAAGATATCAATTTAGCATAACCGTTGATAATAATTAGGATAAGAGATTATAAGGTCTCTAGGTTCAATCCCCAGTAAATGAATGAAATTAAATAATTTTAATTGATGACATACACAGTAATATATAAACAGAAAAATAAATTGAAATTAAGAATATGTGTTCATAAAAAAGTATTTTTTAAATTTGGAATCATTGTAAAAGGATCAAATTCAGGCTCAAAACCTTTGGATCATCTTTGTTGTTTATAAGTCTGGTAACATAAATCCAAATATTATGGCATTCATAAAAAAAATATCATTTTTAGGGAAATTTATTTTAAACTAACATATATCCATAATTAAATATAACCTTCAATCATGAAATAATAAGATCAAATTAAATTACATGTGTTAATTGATTACATATTACACAATCTTCAAAGCTTTCAAACCCAAAACTATAACTATATCACCAGGACCTGATGATTCTCTATTCCTCTATCACTGTATCTTTAACATCCCAATCAGAATAGTTTGTGCCTCATAGCACCAAATATGTCATTATCAATTTCAGTAGTTTAACATCCAATACTTCAACTCATCATTTACTGGTCATTATATTATCTTCTTCAATCTTTTCATGTACAATTCATATATCAGCCTGCATGGTTGTCATGGTCTCTACACTAAAGTAACATTAACATTTATATTTAGCAACATTGTTTTCAAGTTCCTTTGATACCAGGATCTAGTAATTGTATTTCATAAACATATTCATCTCATGGCTTTCTACAATCTGAAAGCAGAACTGTGTGTACAAAGACAGTAAGCATATAACATACAAATTTTTCTCATTTAAGGATATGAAATAGCACCAATTTTCTTATCAGAGTGTAAATCAGAAAGAGTCTGATTTAGTTATATGTATATGTAGTTTCTGGTTTACATTTCATGCCTTTACACTTCCCATTGTCAATAAAAAAAACACAATTTGAAATGGCATGGGAATTAAAATTTCTACCTAATAAATTGCTAATGTTACAATTCACTCTTTAAATTTATTCTTTCTTTTATATATAATAAAATATTAAGGCTATTTAAGTCAATACTCATTCCTAAAATGATCCTAAATGATTTTTACATTTTCTAAATCCTCCTTATATAGAATAGCTGATGGTTTGACAAAAATTGCCAACTTACACACACAACCAACACTGGAGAAAAGAGAAATGAAGGGAAAAATATATAATTCTCATTTTTATTTGCATATTATATACAAAATGTTTAAAATATTATATACTAAATGTTCATTAAAAACTATGTAACCATTCAAACAAACATTTTTTAAATTATTTACACACAGGCTATTGTCCTTATCTTTGTTGTTATCATATCTTGACCGTTGTGCCCTCCAAGCCTTCATCAGGTGTATGTTAATCCAGGTAACCTATAGGGAATTCTGAACTGAACCCTTTTTATTTAATCTATGGGGGTAGACTTCACATTACACTGCACATATCTAGTTCTTACTTTTAATAGTGCTCAATTTCAACTGAGGCAAAGTACACACTGCCCGGTCCAGAATGCTCATTATAAAATGTAAATATATCAATTTCTCAAACTGGATTGAAACAGGCAAAGAATTCAAATTTAATTTACTTGAAAGAAAAATCCTTCACATTTCAAAAAAAAAAAAAAAAAAAAAACAAGCTTTAAAAATATTTTCTTTCAGATTGTCTAAATGAAAAAAAATAGCTTTTAAACAGTGAAGAAAGAGGATACCAGTATTTTCCTGATATTTTATAAACTTATTTATGCTTGAGATTGACTAAGCATTGAAGTAGGTTAACTTGACAAAGGATAAATACACTTTGAGCAATTTTTGTCACTATTTCATTTATACATGAGATCCCACTTTAAAAAAGTGCCATATTTGATTTCATTTAAGTATGAGGTTGGAAAATATCCTTATTTTAATTGGAAGTAACTAGTTATAAAGAAAATTCATGTGATCATATTTTTAAAATAAGATTTCTCAAATATTTAGACCAGTAGATGAAAATGAATATATTGTTAATAAATAAAAACAGGATTTCTCAAATATTAAAAATAACGTTTAAACAATGATATATCTCATAAGAGTTCAATTTCCAGGCTAATCTCTTGCTTTCACTTTAGAGCACAAATGTCCTTGGTAACCGCATGAATCCATCTCTTCTCCTCCAGCTATTGATGGTAGACTGGGATCTCGAGCCATAAGTGGCAACCAATCTGAGAAGGAAAATTCCTAATTCTATACAGTGGAGAATGCAACGGGTAACTACTCCACTACCTTTCCCAAGAATATGTGGCAATTCACAGATAAAAAGAAATCGTGCTAAAAAACGAGCGTTTAAGATATTTCTTGAAAAAGTCATAGGTTCAACACAACAATCAAGACTCAAGGCATGAATAAAACTAAAAAAATAATTTAATGAAAGAAACTGTTGCCGTGTGCAATATTTGATTAGAAAACAAGATGTTTGTTGTTTTTTTTTTATTATTTTTGCGAGCAAACCCACGTGAGATTTTCGTTAATTGCCTATAACTAAAATTTGCTTTACTTTGTATTGTCAAACAATACAAGGGGAGAAGTCTCAAAACACAAATAATTCCCATCTCAGTATATTTACAAAAAAAAAAAAAACTAAAGGGAAAAATGTAGTGTTGCTTGCAATTATTGATCGATTATCAGCCGGGTCAAAATTATTAATACAAATAATAACATAATACAAATCAAAGATACTAATAAAAAACTTTTTTACGTTGGTCGCCTCCTCTGAAATATCAATATTATCCAGTTTTCGAAGAGTGTGACGACATCTATTTAATTTCTTGATTATTTTCTTATCAACACTATATGCCGCATTGACAACTATGGGCGCCGCCATATTGCAATTCCGCATTGAATAGATTGAACAATAGCCAAATGATAAAAACAATCTTATTTCAAAATTTTAAATCCTTAAATTTACGCAAATACCAATAATCTATAAAACTGTAACAATTCAAAATTTTATTTAATTAAAATTGTTATAATTTTTTAATTTTTCTTTCATAAAAAAACATGGAAAATTGTGAAAAAGAAAATTATTGTATTTTTTCCCTTTAACTAATGCGTTGTGATACTGAAATACAAACAATAAACAAATTAATTTATTTAATAATTCATTATAGAATATTTGATCCAGGCTAAGGAGATTTTTATCAATTCTTTTCATATTTTAAAAACAGCATTTCAATAATTTGCTAAAAAGTAAAGATAAAAAGAAAATTAATAATGTTGATTGATTGACTAAAAATTAATGTTGGCTGATTGTTGAATTTATTTACATTTTTTTTTACAATTTGTACAAAAATTTGAATAACTATTATCCACTGTATTTTAATCTACAAGACCTAGGGAAGTAATTCGCAGAAAAAAGTTTTATTTCGATAAATTGAAAAAAAAAATACTTTTTAATTTAAATTCATGCGTACGTTAAAAAAGTGTTTGTAAATAAAGACCAGGAGTTTTGTTTATTTTAATAGTTTTTTTTTTTTAAGTAAAAAAACAGTATATAACTGTAAAATGTAAACTATTATTAATTAACAAAATAAAATTGATCTATTTTAATTTTTTCATTCTCTAAGTTGCATAGTTGTGTACTGTGTACATTTGCAGTTTTTACATTAAGAATGCGTTATAAAAAAGATGAAGTTTTGATTGATTATTTTTAAGTGTGACCTTTTGCTTTTATTTACCTCTTAGTTGAAATAATTTTTCTCTAACAAGAAAATGAAATATTTTTCTTTTCATATTAATTTGTGATCAAATTGTAACAGAAAAAAAAGGAAACAAAATAAGTTTTAATTTTTGACGAGAAAAAAAAATTCATTTCAGTACTTTTAAGAAAGTTCGCATAAAAATTCATGCTGATGACACGATGTCAGATATTGTCACCGGCAGTAACAAATATTTATTTTTATAACTTGGAGTTTCTCTTTAAATAATATTATAAAGGAAAGAGAAACTAAGACTCAAAACAAAAATGAGAGTAAATTCAATTCTAACAAAAATACGAGAAAAATATTGCATCGAAAGAAGTCGTTAGTCGTGACGTCATTACCTGTTCCGGTTTGTAGACATTTGTGCTCCCAAGTATAATGGCTGCCATACGAATAACCGTGGAAGCCTGTAAAAATTGGGAAAAAAATGGGAAAATCGAATTGTAAGTATGCTCAGTTTTGTCAGAACGATGAAAAAATTAATATGAAAAATGATCTGAGTACGATTATTTTTCTTGCATGGACATGATCAAGTTAAAGATTTGTTTTTAGGCACCACGCTGGGCATGAAAGAAAAAAATGAGAAAAAGCCGGAGACGAAAAGAATGAGATGGACTTTAAAAAACAATGTTTATTTGTGGATTCCCCCCGCTTTTATTTTGTTGATCGGTTCTAATTCGCATGCTACTTATTTAAAAGACGTCCTGCATGCATTAATTCCGAATACTGCAATTGTTGATTTTTAAATTAATTATTGCTTACCTTTCAAAGTTTGGCTATGTCTTGTTTTGAAATTTTAAAATAAAAAGATTCTTCACTTGTTTTCGAATTTTCCATTTCTTAAAAATTGATTAACGTACGAAGCGTCTTCTGTTTAGTTGAATATTTTTAAGCAAATATAGCGTAAGTTTACCTTAATGGGTTCTTAAATCAAGTTCAAGTAAAGAAAACCTAAGAGAATTTGTCCTTTACACATAAAGGCATACGTACTACATATTGATGGGTAGATTTCTAAATTTAAAAGTAATCTGTATTTTTATAGTAATAAAAATATGTCAACTTTTGACACTAATTTTATTTTTCATTTAGATTATATAGGGACGGATTTATTGAGAAATTCTTAGGAAAATTGGTTTGGCCGTCAACAAAATTCTGATAAAAAAAAAGTGAAGGCGATCAAATTCTGATATCTTTGTGTGCAATAAAAAAAAAACAAAAAACAATGCTTTGTGTTGATAATTTTATTGTTTGAATTTGACTAATTATTACCAAATAATAGCTTTTAAAAGGGGTCATGGTTTGTTTTTTATGAGATAAGCATATTTTCACTTGCTTTAATTTTTCACATTATGATCTTTGTGACTAATATTTTTGTTTTTTAATTTTGCATGACATTAAAAAAAAAATATTTATTTACGATCACGCTTTATTTCAGTTTTGTATGCCATGATTCGCTACTATTGACTAATAGTAATACTGATGGATTCATTTCTTTTGATTTTCAGGCTCTTAGTTTAAAAATTCTTAGATTTTGTTAAGAAACGCATGATGTGTAAAAAGTACTTATGGTTGTGATGTCGGTAACTTTAAACTTAATTTCCTTTTTATTTTTAGGTCACTTAACACCCCTAATCATTGAGCTTTTATTTTATTTTTAAAGTATGTAATCAAGTTATTAATATTTAGAATTACGTAATGTTACCATTGTAAATGATATGTTCTGGTTGAAAAAGAAAGAATTTATTCTTGTTTTTGTCTTAATTGGGCATCTATCTGAACAAGAAAAATAAGTGAAGGTATTAAAATTTTCAAGCGAGACAATTAAAAGTAAAACAATGAACAAGAGAAAAGTTATGTGAAAAGAAGTGGAGAATGACAGACGATCGGATAAAGTATGTATATGCAACACGAAAAAAAGAATTCTGCAACAAAGAAAAAAAACAATTTAAGAATAAAATTATTACTTTTGATTTTGAACAAAAAAAAATCGTACTTTTTAAACTTCAGTTTATTTCTCTAATTTTTATAGTTTTTCATTTTTCTAAAGACGGTAAAGTTAAGTTTTAATATTTTTTTATTTTAAAAGAAATACATCTCAATTTGTAAACCTCTGCAATCATTTTTAGCTGCTAAAATGTCTTACCGTTATATGGTGATTTTTTTTCTAAGCGTAGCTTAGATGTGGCACAAGGTCGAAAGTATGGGGTACCTAGTGAGGATCGAACTTCCCTTGATATAGCAAGACAAACGTTAACCACGTTGAAATGCCCAAATCATAAGTAGAAAAACCGTTTTTTGAAGTTATGTGCGTGAGAATTTTTTTGGTTGTTTTTTTTTTAAGAAAAAATCAACTAAAATTAAATAATGTATGAAGCTAGCTTGATAGCCACACAGATGGATGAGGTCTTTAAATTATAAATCTGTTATTGAAGAGTAAGAAGTTTCCACTACTGCTCTTTAATCTTTATACTTTTTATTTCACTTAATTTTTACTTTCGTAATTAAATTCTTATGTGAGGGGCGAGCGAGTATGACCTCAAATTTATTAGCGAAAAGAAAAATGTTGGTTTTCAAACAGGGTAAAAACTAAAAAGAATACCTCAATTGAAAACTACTAATACCCGCACTAATTTTGTACCACAACTAAACGAGTCTAAGTCTCTATTTCTTTTTTGAATTGGTTTTACTGTCTTTTTCATCGGAATTACAATTAATTAAAGAGTAGAATAAAATACGTTGATGTTGTTAACTTAAAATTAATAAATACAGCTTCAGTTTGGAAATAAATGTTCTACCTGGTGAATTTATAAAAATTGAATTCTCAAGGAAAATATTGTGCTTTTTTATATTGATGAAAAAATAGATCTTGTGGTTCAGCTGTGATTTTTTTTTTTTTTTTTAAGTAATGATTTATTTTAAATTTACATTTTTAAAAAAATAAATTGATTATACTCTAAAAGTTAAAACTAAAATTATTTTGCTTCTGTTCTGAATTAAAACTGCCGTAACATTAAATTTTAAGATGTTTATCATGCTCACTTAAACTTTTCGTAATTTTGAAAGCACAACTTTTGGCAATTTGCTTGTAAAGAATTCCTCCTACTCAAAAAGACAAAAACGATGACTTAATTTATAAATACGGCACACACAAACAAAATGTTATTTATTTTATATATAGAACACATATTTTTACGTTGAATTGTCACAATTCAGTAATCTTTCGCCTTGCTGCTATGAATTGTAGAGCCGGTGGGGAGACACTAGTAGTGCATAATTTTCTTCCATATTGACCATCCGTAGATTGAAAATGGGTCACATTTATTATCATATGGTGGTACCCTTTAGTGATTGTTTTATTTTGTTTAAACTTTTTTGTTAAGAAACAGGTTTGTCAGAAATTATAACTAAGACTTATTTAAAATACAGGGTGTTCCAAAAATCGCATTACCATTGATAACCTTGTAATGTTTTTATTTTATTTATTTACCAAATGGAATTGTGTGTGACACTATTAAGAAATTTTATTGGTCGAATTATGGAAGATGATATCATGCAAATTTTCTCTGTTTGTTATTTCACAAGTGTACATTTTATGCCAATTGTTGCGTGACTTTTGGAACACACTAAATAGAAGAAAAGCAGCACTTCTCGCTGAGTTCGAAAACAGTAGTTGTGAGTAGTAGCCATATTGTGCAAGTGTTGAATCTTGTTGCTTGCCTTGTTTAAAGTTTTCTATTTATTAAATTTAAATATAATGTACTTTTTCTATGTTTTATTTGATAAAATTTCAATAAAGTCAAACTGCTTTTATTTTTCGTTCTTTGTTTATGTAAAAGAAAAAGATATTAGTTAACTGGAGGGAGCAATTTATAACCGGGATATTGAACAGCAAACAAAATGTTTGTAACCGGTTTTGAATAACGTGCTTCTTTCTTGGCTGCCTTTTAAAAAATTTACTTTTTTAAAAAAAAAAAAAAAAAAAAAGGAAATTTTTCCTCAAAATCTTTAACAAGTGAGAAAATCAAAGGATTTTTATAACCATAGAAATTTTGGTTAAAAATCTTGTTTTTCTGGCATCAACACGACTATAATTTTGTACAGGAAATTTGAGCCTTTTTTTTTTTTTTTTTTTTTTGAAAAGCACTGATTTGTCTTGCAAAAATCAAGATAATTATTGGATTTTAATGAAACTTTCATGACTTAAATGAATAAAGCTATTTCCCAAGCGTAGCTTAGATGTACAAGGCTGAAAGTATGGGGGCACCCAGTGAGGATCGAACTCACTACTCAGTCGTAATTGTTCTAGCGAGATAAGCTTGCTAACCAATACACCGCCTCGAGGTGCCCAAACGAATAAAATTGAAATGTTTCGTTTTTAGAAAATCTCGGTAATTTTTTTTCTTTCTTAGCATGTTACTCCCTAGCGCCACACGCACACATTTTAAATTTCAAGAAATTCTTTTTGTATCACGTGTATGTTTTATTCTGTACCACCGAACCAAAACTAATGTGTTTTCCCGAAATGAAAGCAAAAAATCACTACTACTTGTTTTAAAATACTTTCCAAAACTCTGGGAATTATCAGATTTTAAGATTACTAGGTAGTTAAAAAATGTGATATAAAAAAAAGTATTTGTTGTATTCATCATGTAACTATTTTCAATTACCTAAACCTACCAAACTTCACACTATCAATAAATCATTATCTTAAAAAATATTCTTCTCTGTGACATTTTAAAGTAATATTTGTTTCAATTTTCAGAGTAATTAAACTTTAAATCATAATTTAATATTTCTCAATGTTTGAAAAGTAAATTTTATTTTTGTATTTTTTTTTTTTTTTTTTTGTAATAAAGAATTATATTCTGTTAACAGATCTGTCAATATGGGCAAATTTATAAATTGATAAGAAGAAAAAATTCCAATCAATTTAAATTCAGTTTGCAATACACCAAGATAATTTGCTTATTGGGAATATTAAAGTTATTAGATTGAAATTAAAAATCAAACTTCAGAGGTTTCTTTTTCTTTCTTCTTTCTTTTGACTTGGTACCTATTTTGTTTACTTTTATTTGGAAAATCATTTGAAATAAATTTGGGAAAAGAAACATTTTTTTTATGCATCAACAGTGTAACATAACTGCTAATGAAAATTTTCATGCCTGTTGTCCAGTGTAACAACACATTAATTTGGAAAGTCATGCAAAAAATCAAATAATTTTCAGATTTTAATGAAACTTTCAGAAATTATTCACAAATTAAATTATTTTTAGAAAATCTTGGTAAAAACAAGTTTTATGTTTCCTCTTACACACACACACACACTTAATTCCATAATTTCTGTATTCCAATTTTTTTTTTCCTTAGCCAGAAGCAGAAGTCCTTGGAGAACATATCACCAATTTTTTAAATTTTTTTTCAAACTATTGCTATTGTATCAAATCATCTCCATATCATAAAATAAAAAATGCAATAAAATTATTTAATTGCTTTTATGAATAATATATATTAAGGACATTATAGTATGAAGAAAAAAGAATTTCAATCAATAATGAATTTTTACAAGAATTGCTTTCTTTTTTTTTCTTTTTTTCCTAATAATTTATAAAGTTTCAAAAATCTTAAAAATTCTTCCAAATTTCATATTCATTATGTTGTTAAGTGAAGATTATATTTACTAAGTGGAAATTGAAAAGCATAATACAAATTATAACTGTTATTTTTTAAAATAATTTTCATTTTTTTATGTGTATAAATGTGCCAATTTTGAAAATATGGATGACCATAAACGACATTATCAGAAAATAAGTCAATCATGATAGTAAATTTAAAGTCAGCATTCCTAAAAATTAAATTATGGAGAATATTTTCATCATTTAAGATTACTAAGTACTTAAAAATTTTATAAAAAAGCATTTACCCGTCATTTTCTTAAAGTATGTTTTAACAGATAAAGTCTTCGTAGAACAAGTGTCAACACCTTGTAAATCACTTGAGTGATTTATGAGGTGTTGATAAGCACTTGGTGCTACTGTTTTAAAAATCTGTTATTTTTAACTTAAAATAAATAATATTTGTTTCAAATCAGATTAATTGTACTTTAAATCGGGTAATATTCCTCAAAATTTTAGAAAAGTATATTTTATTTTTGGAATTTTTTTTAATAAAGAAAAATTCATTGCAATGACAGATGGCTAAAAAAGCCTAAAAAATGAATCGACTCCAATAGAATTTCTGTTTGAAATACACTACAGAGTATTTTGCTTACTGGAAATAGTAAATCTAACCCTTTACTTTTCAATTAAAGCTAGAATGAAAGTTTCAAGAAAAGATTTTCATTTATGAAAATTTATTTAAACCTTAGGCATACCAAATTGGAGGTACCTAATTTAAACTGTTCTCATCCTTCATCCGATTTATTTATTTTTCTTTGGGTTATTTTAATTAAGTTAGATTAATCACAGGTCATATATCATAATTATTATTTGTTGCTTTTTTTTTTGTAAATTACACAAATATTTAATTCAAGAATTTAAGAGTTAAATTTCATGCTAATTTGTGAAGTTAATAAGATATATAAGTAACCAAAAGTTACTTTTGTATAAATTAAAAAATACTTTTTAATTTTTACAAGAAATGCATATATTCATACTGTATTTGAGACCTGTAGTTAACATAGAAAAAAAAGAAGTGCAGTATAGAGGGTAACTGGAAACTTTGAATATAAGTTACTTTACAACCAAATTGGAGTTTGCTTAGGCATTTTTCTTCAGTAAACAACTTGGAATATGAATTATTTTTCTGTATCCAATTTAATTTGCAAAATTTGATCATGTAATCTATCAGGATTTGTTTTTAGAACTAAAAAAAAACTGGTGATGCAAACTATTACTGTAATTGTGGTTCAAAATTACAATAATGAATCAAGTACATGAATCCCATGCAATAATAAAATTTGCATAAAGTGTCCATGTAGCTTATATCTGTGACCTCTACTGTATTAAAAAGGCAACACAGCTATAAAAGAGATTGATTCTTTCTACCACCACTGGATAACTGGTTTGAATTTAGGATGAAGAGGAATGAATCATCTAAATTGAATATATCACCTATGACAATAGAAGAGTGTTAGACTGTTTTGTGTTGATATTTATAAAAATTTAATAAATATTAGATTTAAAAAATAATTAACCCTCTAAAGTAGGTAACTCCACAAAAATTGCAATACCTAAGGTTTAAATTAATTTTTAAAAATGAAAAGTTTTCATTTTGGCTTTAATTGAAAGCTAAAGGATTAAATTTACTATTTGCAAGCAAAATACTCTGGTATATTTCAAACAGAAATTATATTGATTGGAGTCAATTTTCTTTTTAAGTAACTTTTTTTTTTTTTTTTCTTTTTTTTTTTTTTTTTTTTTCAAAAATAAAATGTGTTTTCTGAAACTTTATTTGAGGGATATTAGCTGTATAAATTAATCTGATTTGGAATAAATATCATTTACTTTAAGTTTAAAATATTGCAGAAATGCATTCTTTAACTCTACAATAGCTGTGTTTTTAATCCTACAGTAGCTGATTTGATCTATTGACAAGCCTGATGACAGATCTAATGTTCTACAGAGCCTAATTTAAGAATATGACGTGAATGCCTTTTTATATAATTTTTAAGTACTCAGTCATTTAAAAAATTTAGTAAAGTATTCTACATAATGTTTTATTAAATTTTAAAAATGTGTTGACTTTAAATTTACTATAGTCATCACTCTTATTTTCTGATAATGTGTATGGTTGCCCATACACACAAGAATGGGTACATTTACACACACAAAAGAAACTTCAGTCACAGTGACCAGGAATGTCCATGTCACTTTAACATGTCTAATGTTTTTATCATATATATCACAACTATTTTTTTCTCTTTCACTTAATAGCATAAAGAGAAAAAAAAATATAAAAGTAATTTGTCATTTTCTTTGAAAGATTAAAGAAATTCCCTTTTTTTTTCTCTCTCTCTCTCCAAGTGAAATCAAAATTATTTAAAAAGATAAACAGTTACTTAAATTTTAATTGGTGTAGTAATTCCTTGGAAGATCAATTGACACTAATTGATATAAAAAAATAGTTTTGAAATTCATACATTACGAGCAGGTCTTCTAGAGCGATCCTAATTTTCTACTCGTATATAATTTTAATAATAACCAATATTTGGAAGTTATTGTTTTAATTAATCATTTTAATATATCCCAATAGTTGGACCATAAAATTAGGTTTGATATCATTGTCAAAACACAACTTTCTTTCTTGCTTCTCTCTTTTATGAGGCTAGTGAGAATACTTTTTTTCCCAAAACTCATTATTTGTAAAAAAAAATTTATATCAATATCTATTTAAAAAATTATGAAAACAATGTTACTCTCCTATACACCACTAATTTTATTCATTTCATGTAAAGTGTTGACTAATGTCAAACTGTTTTCAGTGAAAACAGATCAAATTACACTGACGATTAAAGCTCAGAATCCATGTGAAAGCTAACTTTAATTTAACTCGTGTCTCAGCTTTTATTTTACAAATGTATTTTTCATATATATATATATATATATATAAACTACTAAAGTGCTGTTTTTAAAATTGTAATTATACTTACTACAAGCAACTAAGAGTAATAAGTATATTTATTAAAATAATCTTTTCAGAAAAAAATTATATCAATTTACAAGTGAAATATTGGATTATGAGATGAAAACATGTAGGTTAGGTTCTACTATTGTCAAGGTTATCCATTATTTACATTTCAGCATATATTTAATGTGAAATAAATTGAAGTGCCAAAAGATTAGAGACAATATGGTTTCACCTTCCCCCACTTGTGGGAATGAATTTAGTCAGATGATGTGCGTATGGTATAATAGGTAAAGAAGTAGTGTAACTAACAGTCATGCAGTACAGATTTGACACTGTTTGTTAGAGTACCTCATCTTTCTGACCTCCTATATCCAAGGTGACTAGATTTTTCTCAGCTAACAAGAGCAAAGGTATACCAGGAATATGTGAATTCCAGATAAACATTAATAACATGGGAAAACTGCAGAATCCAAGGTAATACAAGAATGATACTTCCAGCAACTGACAAGGATGGTAAACATTGCATCAAATAACAATGCCAGTGCTACTCAACTCATCAGTCAACACACTGTACAACATACTCTCTATTCCATGGGGTTTTGTAGTTGTCAACTAATGCAGCAACAATTGTTGACTTTGGTTACTGCACCTTGCTTAGCCCATAGAACATTGCCATTGGTCTATGTGAGACTGGTACCATGTTGCCTGCTCAAATGAGTTACAATATTAGTTCTTTATAGCAGATGGTTGAGTTTGGACAAGACTGCATAAGGCTATGAATCTCGTCTGTCAGCAGGAGTGTTGGACAAGCTGTTAGTGTCTGTAATTACATGGGATGTGTGCTATTAGAAATTCACAGATACAACTAATGAAATTGGTGTTTGCTTGACAAGTATGATATACACACATTTTTGCAGACCATTTTTGAACTCTTGTATGCTCACAGTGTTCCCCAGTGGTGATGGTTTGTTCCAGCAAAATAACTTCCATTATACTTGGGTGAATTGAAACTGATTCCAATAACATTTGGCTGGCTTTCAGGTACTCCATTGGTGCCCATGTTCACCATATTTACAACCCATTGAGTTTGTATGGAATATGTCAGACTATACTAAGTCCCCTGCAACCAAACCTAACAAACACAATTCAGTTATAGATAGCCCCAGAACATGCTTGGGTACATACCAACTCCAATATATCATAGACTCAATATCACATCACATAGCTGTCATTATCTAAGTGAAAAAAGAGAAATATTATTCAGTAGTCCCATAAATCTTTTGGCACTCTGTTTATATTTAAGTATGAAAAATTCAATCATAGTTTTTTTTTTTTTTTTTTTTTTTTTGTTCCTCTTATTTCTTTTGTCATTGAACTTGGATATGAGCATGTCATTACTCATATACACTCATATGAATTTTTTTTTTCTTTTTTTTGTTTCCAGCATCAAATTTTGCAAAGGGATTGCAAGTATCAGTGCTCTGGAAGCCTCTGATATTTCCTATCGGAGAGCATTATATGATTTATTCATCAGTGTAGTAAGAGGGTATATGAAACCAGATTATGCAATCTCTACCATTACAGAAATAGTTGTAAGTATTTTGCGGCAACACTCTTTACTCTGTTTACTTTTGCTATCCTTATAGGGACATACAAGTATTCAGGCTTTTTTCTTTTTACCTGACCCACAACCTTCCATTCTGTTGACTAGTTCATATGAAACTATAAAAGCACATATTTGTCCAATGATTTATCAAGAAAAATCTAGCACTGAATATATAGATATGAGTATTAATGGCCCAAAAATTTATTTCAGTGTGCCTCTCTTTTGTATGCCATTGAGAATTAGATTAGAATGAACAGCACACACTTATTATTTCAGCCACATCTTTACTTCTGCAAAAAATATTTCATGTTCAAAGCCATATTAGAATTTTCTGAATTTGAAATTAAGTTCACATTAATCCTCTTAATCTATAATGAAGTGAAACTAAATATGTTTACTTAAGTAATTATGAGGCTAATATAATTTGATATCTTAACATGATCTAAAAGGATTGTTTTTTTTGTTGTTGTTTTTTTACTATCAGTTTTAAAAATTTTGTAACTTATTTGATGTCAAACATTACTTGTATATAATTCAGTAGTTTCTTTTTTCTCAAATGTGTTTTCAGTATTAGTATCATTTTAATGATACTTTTTGCTCAATTTTTGATTTCAAATGTTTCATAGGAATATTTTTAATTATTTGCAATAGTAGTTTTTAGACTTGAAATTTCAATTAAAAATAATTGACATTATTTATGAACAGAACAATTTAACTTCTTACTCAGTATCTCACTACAAAAAAAAAAATTTTAAATTATCTTCTATTCAATATTATTAAAAGGAGATTTAACAGTATTAAAAAATGACTAAAACACAGTTTGATTTGATAGTTAAAGACCACGTCTAAGAAATGTTGTTTCTCTTAATTTTATGATTCTGATAACTTGTTTACCATTTCTGACTGAGTAAGAAGTCACTTTGACAGTTATTTGGCTTTATGGTATAATGAGGTAGGTGGCAAACCCACTGTGCAGGATGAATAGAGCTCCAAGTAAGCTTGACGGCAGTCAACTGTTAGATGCAGAAAGGCTTAGTTTTATGACATAGAACTGAAAGAATATGTGAAAGAAGGCATGATTGTGTTCATTAATTAAAATAATTAAATGTGGAAATAGAATTAAGATATTTAGTTTCAAGCAATTGACTTAGAGGTAACTTCATATAACTGGTTATTGCTCTGTACCCACCTGCTATACTCAACTAATTGGGCAAAATTGAGAAGTAATAAAATATTTCTTCAACTAAAATAAAAATTATCTCTAAAAAATTTTACATAAAGACCCATTCATTGGATTGATTTGGGTTCCTGACCAGAACAATTTTGAAAAAAAGGTTTTCCAAAAGAAAAAATTGACCAGAGCCATTTGGTCATGTGATCAATTTATATAAAAGCATATTCACTACCAGTGAATAGTTAAAATAGTTCTATGGGAAGTTGTTTATCAAAAAGCCAGTCAAGTTGCTGAGGGACATGTGTTGTGAAATTTATGGTCACATTGTACCAGTGCATTATTGGTGACAAGATGGCAAGTTGAGTTCTGATATAAATGACGTGAGCAGTCTACAGGAAGCCACCATAGAGAGGAGACAGTTCTGCTTAGGCTGCCAGAAAAAAAAAAGTGAAAGAATGAGTAAATAGGCATGGGCAGATCATAATAGTAAGCTGAAGTTTCTTTCAAATAAAGGTGATCTTTCAGAAAGGAAGACACAAGTTTAAAATACTTACTCAACAACTAGAATAAGTTGCAGTTTATTAATATTTTGTTTAAAGTATTTTGGCCTTCATTATTCCAAAATTTCAATGAATCTCAGGAATCCATCAACTTTGACAAATAGCTGGTTTGGGCTTGCAACCATTCAAACCTAAATTTGGAACTTGTTCAAATCTAAACACAATGTGAATAAAGGAGTCTTCCTGTCTATGACATTGCTAAATCAGTGATTGGAACATTAGCCTGTTCACCAACTTTACTGTTACATTTATTGTTGTAACCAAGTATTCTGATCTTGAGTTTACCACTGAAAGACACACATAGTGTTAAATTTTGTGGTTGCAACCACAATATCAAGTCTAAGAGATTAGAAATTGTAGGTTTGCACCACTGGAATATTAACATTTCATATCATGCAAATTACAAGAAACGTACAAAAATGTGATTGAAAATTTATCACAGAATATTCATTGATATTTTTCAAAGATTCATATTAAAAATTTAAGCTTAAAATTGGGTTTTGAAATGTAAACAATTACTGGAACTTATTAACCCTAAAATTAATTCATTTTTAGTCTTTTTAAGAAAATTTAGATTTTAATGAAATCAACATATTTTGATATTAAGTGTCCAAGCATATTTTTAAGATAATTTTCTTAAAATCAATGCAAAAATGTAAAATTTGTGTAAGAAATGTAATTGTTTACAAAATTACAGAAATAACATTTCTTCAACTTGGTATGTAAAATTAATGTTTTATTTCAAAAGTAAATAGCTGCATAATAATTTTGTGTCAGATTCGTTTTCAGTTCATTTTTATGAATGAGGTTTAAAATTCTTTGATTCTCATTAAAATTTAGGCTTACATCTTTAGCTTGCCATAATATCAGTTAAAACTGAATTTTAATCATCAGCTGGATAGAAATATTTGTCTATCGATACAGTAAGAAATGGTTGAATGACCAATATATTTCCTATCAAAGTCAGATGCCAAGGTTTTATTGCTAATTCAAATGTAGTATACCTGACCAAATGTTTATCTTCATCAAGAGAAAATTGATTGGGTAGAAACTGCATCTGCATCAACCTGGCATTCCCACTGCGTGACAAGAAATTAACAATGTCTTAGTATCATGCTAGTGTGCTGTGGATTAGTGATCATGATGCTACCCCCCGCCCAATACCTGACACTAGACTCACCATCTTGTAAAGGTTTTCTTGGCATCGCTGCTGCTGTTTTCACAGTAGTAGTTGTGTAAATTTATTTATAATTTATTGTTCTTCTGTTATAAGATAATTATTGTCTGAAACATGTAAATTATTATTCTTCTAAAATGATATCTTGTAATATGTTATTCTAGATCTAATAAATGTTGATTGATATATCGGTTGCATAGGTCTAATTCAATTCTCAAGATGTTACTCTCATTACCAATCAATTCAGTAGTTTGGCCAGTGAAAAAAAAATAACATCTTTGCAATACATTTTAATGTAATTGGACATGTTAAAAATATTTCACAAAAACTACTTTACCAGATTTCTTAATTGCACCAAAAGCTTAGAAATTCTTTGTTTGGTATATGATTTATTTATTTATATATATATATATATATATATATATATATATTTTTTTTCCAGGATTTTCACAAAGATCTGCCATCACTTTTAGCTGGTATCCTCAGTGTTATTGGTAAGAACATTTTTTCTTTTATATATTTACTATACATATAGCAAGTTAACATAATTTCAAGTTCACTGCATTTATAAAGTTGAATTATTACAGTTATTTTATTTTATTTTTTTTAAATTTTATTTGATTACAAAATGTGTAGTTAATTATCCACTAATCTTTTGGTTACTTTGGCAAGCTGTGAAAGGTTAAAAAGAACAATTGAGAAATGATGATCTGCACTGTATGCTCACTTCTGTTTAATGTGCATGTTATCTATTTTTGCCTTATGCATTAAAATATGTAACATAATTGATGTATTGATCAATCTTTAGACATAAATAGGTGTTTCAAGGTTTGAAATTGATGTTTTAATATTGCTAATTGGCAACAATATCAAAGTTAACTTTATGAAGTTCCAATAAATTATGTAGAAGGCTGAACAACCAATGTTAATGCCCTATACTATCAGTCATTCAGTATGACTCATTTATTTTGTACATTGTTTGATTTATTTTCACTTTATTTATTGTGAATTACTATTATTTTAAATTTTTCAAAAGCATCTTTATTATCTATAAAATCAATTTATATTCTTTTTAGATGTAGAATCTAGCTGTAGTGATGACAAGCAGCAAAGAGATCGATTTCTTCTGTTGGTTTCTGGTATGGTTGTAAGTATTTGCAAGCTTTTTTTTTTTAATTCCTTTGTTTTGAAGTTTCACTTTCTTAAATTATAGATTGATTTAAAACTAAAAAACATTAAAATCTGACAGTTTAAAACAACTTTAAATTGAATGTCAACCCCATGCTATTATTTTTATTCAATTGACCTTCACAGATGCTGTTTCTACTTTTTCTACAAGTTAATGAAAACAAAGTTAGTTTATTTATTTCCTGTTTAAAATTTGAGATATTAAGTATTTTTTCATAAACTTCTTTTTTAAAATCAATTTTATGTTTGTAACTTCTTTTTTAAACTGTACTATTTTTGTTGCCTTTGTTGGGTAACTCTGTAGATACTTTTCTCAGTATTTGATTTTCCTAATTCTAAATGTACAAGTAAAATACTGATAATATGATGAAATTTTATAACTTATTTTCTATTATTTCTTGAATTATTAACAAAATTAATAAATTATTAAAATAAATCCAAAACCTGACATTGTTTTCAATTATAAAAAGGGAAGAACAATAATATGGAATTTATGATTCCTATTGAATCCGTTGAAGGATAAATTGAGAAGCTAAATTTATAAAGAGTGAAATTTAGTGTGTTATTCAGTTTCTACAAGTGGATGAGAGAATAACCAGAAATATTTATAACAACAAAGAGGAACAACAGAGAATTTAAAGAAAAGAAAAACTAACCTAATGATCTCTATATCTACAGCATTTTCCAATAAATTAGATGATCCATTGAAATTCAGGAAAAATATTCTTGTTTTGTTTTTAAGTAATCATAAATGACAGTCATATTCATGAGATCTTTGCTATTTTTAATTTTACAATGCAGTTTAAAATTATACATTATGCTTTGCAAGTCACATATGTGTATCAGCATGACAAGAATTAAGTTTGTTCACAAGAATAAATAATTAATTTTGATTTATACATAATATTGTTTTGTGATAAGCATAGTCAGTGAATAAAGTTTGATCTGTACCACATTATAATTACTATAATACTATTCCAAAGCTTGCATTCACTGAAAACTATTCAGTCAAATTATTTCAGATTATTGTAGGAGGAATGAGTCAAGCCAAACTGTACACTACAGATACGACATATCTATTTATCGTGTTTATGTTTTGTTTTGTTTTTTAAACAAAATACATCTCACACAACAAATTGCATATCTTATCAGCTATTTGAAACCATTTCCTCATTAATAATTATCAAATTGTTTCTGACAATTGATTTAAAATGTGAATTCATTGTATTGTTGAATATTGGCTATAGTAACTTGATGAAGCTTAAGAACATTTTTCTGATATTTTTATAACTGAACTAGTAATCAGTCTAATTTCTTTTTCAGGGTATCATTCCTGATTCCATCTTGAAAGAGCGGCTGGATCAAGAGACACTTGAATGTGTTGGTCTTATTCAGTCTAAACAGCTTTTTCAACAAAAATATGTCAAAACGAAAACAAAATTATAGTAAGTATATTTTTGGTTCTTTTTTTCAATTTATGATTTAATCTTTACCAGAGTAATTTTTTTCACTTTATTCTGTCATTGATACATCAAACTACGGAACAGATTAATTGGGATGGGGGCTGTTGTAGATTGGTAGCACTCAACATATAATTCACTGAACATAAATTTGGGTATTTATGTTTGCTATAATTAAAAAAGTGTTTTGTTTTCTGATTATAGAAAAAATTAACACATTTTGAATAGTAAACTAAAGAATGAGTGAACTGAATTGCCAACTAACAAACTCATTTCTTTTAAAAGTCAGTTCTATTTCAATTATAATAATTATGCAATGGTGTTTATCCTACTCTAGACAGGTATTGTCTTTTCTAGACAGAAAATTTTGTACAACTGCCAGGAGAACTACATAACTTGTTGATATCCAATATAGATCTTTCCACCTGCATTGTATTGATTGCTTTTCACCTTTTAAATAGAGAATCACTCAGTATTTATAATTGTTTCTCATAACCTGCATTATTGTCAGTCTGTACAATATTGTCAAATTAATCTGCATGCATATTTATTTTGGCTTTTTCCAAATAAAATATTTTTCTTTTAATAGTTATTTTAACTTTTACTTTCAATTAATGAAAAAAGAAAACCTGTGGGGGAAAAATCATGTTAGATATGCAAGTACAGCCATTATTTTCTGAATTCTGTAGAGACTATATATGCTGTTCTCTTAATATGTTGGCAAAGGTACAAAATGATATATTAAAATTAAATGCTTTCATCAGCTAAATTTTTTTCCATTACATTTTCTTTGCTGATAATGTAATTACAAAAAAAAATCTTCAAAAGAATTTCTTAAAAATATACTGGTCATTACTTGTCCTTTTGATATTGCTGATGAATATGTTAAAGTTTGTTCGCACATAGTAAGTTATTCTAAATAGATTTCTTGTTCATGAATATGCTTTTTATTTTTTATGAAATATTAAATTTTCAACTATTCATTAAAATCTTAGCTTTACTATACATGCTCTTTAGAGTGAAAAATGAGTGAATTTACTATTGTCAGGTTTCTGGCAAATTATTACAATTATTAAAAAAATAGGATAAATGCAAAGACCCATGTTTTGCTAAAATTCTGAGTGCCATGCTGTAAATGGCCACTTGTTTTCTTTGCTTCCTTTTCAAGTGAACTTCTTTGAAATGTAATTTAGTTTATAAGTGGCAGTTGGATGGTTGCACATGTTGTTACTAATTTGTACTTTGGTATTTTTTTTAAATAGTGTTAATCATTTTAACATCTGAGAAACTAACATATGACTGTTTATAACATTAATAATAACTACAAATATTAGAAAATAACAATAAATTATTCCTGCAAAATTAACATCATTTGCTTTGGATCAAACTCTCAAGTAATATTAAAATATTTATTGTTTAAAAGTGCATAAATGTTTAATTAATCCATTTCCCCAAAAGTTTAATTTACACACTTTAATATTATTCTTGAAAGGATCTAATTATAACAATTCTTTTACTTTTAGCACAAGCTTTTATCTCTGTAATTTTCTATTATGTATGTTAAACATTTTGCAATTCAAAATTATATCTAATAACAATGTAATTACTTTAATGTATGTATTTGTTATCCAACATTGATTTGATTGAATATTTGTTTTCATGGTAATGTTTCAATGGTTGAAAATTATTCATTTTATAATTCCTTGGATGAACAAAAGAATTAAGTTATTTTATTTATGCATGTTAACTTTGATTCATATATAATTATATACCTGTATCACATTCTCTGATCTTCTATATATTTTTCTTCAACACCTTTCTTGCTATAAGGATTGTATTGCTGATCCATTTATTTTAAAAGGTTATTTCCCTTCTGGATGTAGGCAATCATGGCTCTTTATTATTTGTGAAATGCCATGCATTCTTGGGGAAGATAGTGGAGTAGTTTCCTGTTGCCATCTCTACAATTTGGAATACAGAGTTGTCCTTCTCTTAAACTGGTTGCCACCCAAGGTTAGAGAGTCTGGTCTACTCTTCTATTTAACCCTTAGCTAGTGGGAGGAGATGGTTTTATGTCTTTCCCAGAAGTATTAGTGTGAAAGTGAAAGCAACAGACTAAACCGGAATTTCAACTTGGCATGATTACCTTTACCTTACCCATTAGCAGGCTCAAAATTTGATTGCTTTATGTTTTCTATTCAACATCTGTGATTTGATTATTTCAGGATTATATATATTGAGCAGGTTTGCATAAGTTAACTCTAATAGTGTCTTACCAGCTCACCATTAACAAATTATTCTATTGTCAATATAATTAACTTCAATTTAAGTCTTAGCCTCTTAGCAGACATAAATAGGTACTTCAGCTAGTTATATCTAAAGAGACAATTACAAGTTAAAAATCATATTTTGATAAATATTATGATTCTAATTTTATTTAACAATACTAAGCATAAGGCCAGCCTGTTTTAATTTAGCAATATTGACATGTTTTTTAATATCAAGCTATGTTCCATTGAGTTACATTTGAACCACTTAGAAACTTAAAAAGCACTAATGCATAATATGAATAAAACATTTTACACTATTTCATAATGCATTAATTATTGGCTAGAGGTTTATCAGTTTTGATTTTTGTATTGATCCTCTGGACCATTTATATAAATTTCTTAGTTTATTCCAATGGAAATGCCAATTAGATATTTTAAAATCCTTCATAAGTAATTTCTCTCAAAATAACTAACATGTACTCTTTGTTTTTAAATAAGGTACTTTGCACTTTTGTACCTTGTTAATCTTCATACTCATTATACCTAATATCTTTTCTCTCAGTTACAAACAGCAGAAGTTCAACCTTCTTCGAGAAGAAAGTGAAGGTTATGCTAAATTAATGAGTGAACTTAATCAGGACCTTTCTGAGACTATTTCATTCTCACAAGTATTGGAAAGTATCAAGTCACTTATTGGTAAGTTTACAATGTCATTTTGTGATGTGTGTGTGTGTGTGTATATATATATATATATAATGCTTCCTTCACACTCTGAATGTATGCCAGTTTTTAAATAAACTATAAGAATTTTGAGCTTGTTATCTATCATAATATTAAAACTGAATATTATGCATATTACTTTGTTTAGCAAGTTATAAAATTTTACTTTATATTCATACATCAAAAAAAATGTTACATTAGTTTGGTTCTTTGTGGGTTTTTTTTTTTCATGAATCATTTGCTAGTTTAAATGTAGAAATGATATTGAAAAGTATGTAACTAATTCATCAAAAAGATTTTTTTTTCTATTAAAATATATTTTCAATATTGCAATAGATCTGAAGCACTTTTTCTATCAGTATTTCTTTAATTTCAGGTTGTTTTGATCTTGATCCCAATAGAGTTCTTGATATTTTGTTGGAATCTTTTGAATGCCGTCCAGAATATGAACACTTTTATATCTCTTTGTTCCGGGCATATATGAGTGAGCAGAAGACATTATGCCATGTGCTTGGATTCAAATTTCATTTCTATCAGGTGAATACCTTGACATTTTTCTTTAACCTGGAATAGCTTGTAATTTAGGTATTGGATGCTCTGTAACAAAACTGAAAGTATTTCTTCCAACTGTTTCTTTAATTGGTTTGATTGATCTGCACTATGTTTCCATAGTTACAAATTGAAACTTTGTACAAATGCAGTAAGCAAAAATGTATTTGGTAGTTTCCTGGTTGTTTTGTTCATTTTCTTCATGTTCAATAGTAGTCTTGTAAAACTGTTTTAATTTTTCTAAGGTGCTTAAAGTTTAAAAATTTTTCATAACATTAAAACTGATCATTCAAAAGAATTTTATAAACAAATTTATGAATTCTAATAATTTGCATACAAAACTTTATCAAAAACGTTTTTGAGTATTGATGTTTTGTTTGTAGTCTGCTGCTGAAGATACTCCTGTGTCATTGTACCAAGTTGCAGCATTGTTGTTGAAACATGGCCTGATCGAGTTAGAGGATTTATACTCTCATGTAAGTCTTTGCTTGTATTCACCTTTGTTGACTTAGGCGATAGATATGTTTACATGTAATGAAATAGTAAATATTGCTTTTAGCTTCACTGAAAATTTAATTAACTGAATTTCCTTAAGGAATTGCTAAACTCTCATTGTGTATGTATACTCTTAAATTGTAATGTCTTCTGTGTATTCCTACTGGTATTTTGAAATGTCTGAACTGATTGTTATGAAATTTAAGCTTAAAATAGCTTTTTGGTTGAAAATTCTTGAACCAAAAATTTTTTCTCTTTTAGTTATGTCCTGTTGATAGCAGCATTATTGAATACCATCAAAGAGAGTTGCTAGAAGCTAAACAGCTTGCTCGAAAATTAAATGTTGTTTGTGTATCTGACAAAGCAAATGAAAATAAAGACAAGGAAAATGACAATGAAACAAAGATTAATTTGGTAAGGACTTTTCTTTTTATTCCAAATATTTCATTGTTTTAAATTAAAAGTAACAGTAGATAAGGTTTCTACCCTTTAAATTATCTATATAATAACAGTAAAACATTTTTTAAGTAAATATTGTCTCTTATTTTATATATAAAGCTCTTACTCTGATGATTAAAATTCTTTGTTATAAATGATTAAAATTGTATTTCACTACAGCTTCATTGTTTCAATGAAGCACATGCATAAAACTGCTAGCTATTTTATTACTGTGTTTATGAATTCTGCACCTGTGTAAATGTATATTGAGATTCTACTTAGTGAAATGCTTTCAAGCATAAATACTCATTGTCGGCCTACTACAAACAAGTTTCCTTATACTAAGCCTAATATTATTTTTTAACATTGTTACAAATTATGTTTCAAGAACAGGGATAAATATCAAATGAAAAGTTTTCAAAAAATTACAAGGTAACATTTAAAAGTGAAATGCATTAAAAATTCCTTTGATATTAAGAAATAGTAAAAATGTCAGTTTACATTTGTATTTATTTAAGGGAATTTTTTATTTATCTATGAGAATGTTCTTTTTTGCTTTTCAAATTAAAGTCTGTTTCTCTGGTTACAGCAAGACAGCAATCAGAAACTTGGTCTGTGCAAAGCTTTGCTGAAAGTTGGAGATTGGCAGCATGCCAAAGCCATCATGGACAGACTTCCCGAATTCTTTGTGACTTCCCACCCAGCTACAGCCCAGGCAATGTGTGCCTTGATTCATTCCCTCATTGAACCCATATACAGGGAGTAAGCATTGTTCACAACACCGTTTTGTTTTGTTTGTTTTTTCTTGATTTGCTAAGCTCATTCACTACAAAACCTCTTGTACTATTTATTTATTCACCCTTTTATTTGAGATCAGATAAGTTTTTTTTTGTTTTGACTAGTCTAATAAAGTTAATTTTTACTTCAGGCCATCAGTTACTTTCCATAGTATTTAATATACACGTACATTAATAAAAGTGTGTAGATGATACTTGTCACAGGGATACAGGTTTCAATTATTTTTAAAAATCAGATCATAAAATGTATAACATCATTTTTTTTATTATTATTATTTTAAGGAATACTGGTTTTCCACCAGCTGTATTGAAGAAAAAGGCAACAAGCAATGATGATCATTTAGAAAAAGTACAATCTTTTCTACAACTGCATTCTCAAATTTTCCCAATGATGTGTTACCTTGGACCACATGCTTCATATGATGTTATTCTTCTAGTGAAATTTATCAGAATTGGTAAAAGTTTCATGCTTAAGGTATGCTGGTTTTATTCTTTTTGTTATTTAATTTTATTTGTTTCAAGTTAAAAATAATGAAAAAGCTTTGTGCAAGAATTCAATTAACAGTATCTTATCTTTTGTGTAAATGGACTTTTTGTTTTTTTGTTTTTTGCGGGGGGTTACATTTATTAGGGCATAATTTATAGTTTACTATATATTTCAATTTTCAATTTTTTTTTTTTTTTTATAATTAAAATCAATTAGATTATGTACAAGTTAGGAATTAATTTTTCATTGAATTTTCTTTCATTTTTAAAACTACCATATTTCCTTGTGTCAAAGACATTCCAGCTTCAGAGATGTACTCTAATATTGAATTGTAAAAAAAAAAATATCTCTACTATCAGGAACCTTACCAAGATGTTTTGTGGATAGCTTAGTGAGATGTAGATGCCATTCACTACTCAGTCTGAACTCTTTCTTTTTCTCTTGCAATATGGTGACTCAATAAGTTGACACTTAACCTATCAATAAGGGCCTTCAATAGATCTGCATCTACATAACAATATTCCAGTTCCACAATTTGCTTCTCAGCTAAACAATGGTTTTACTTTTTTTTGTCACTGAAAATTCTACCAACATTGGTTGGTTATTTTATTGTTTTTTAAAAAAAAAAAAAAAACACACTTCACCTACATTGTAAAGTCTGTGTGTGTCTGGAATTTCCTGGTTCACTTGATTTGACTTCAAACTTTTAAAGAAAAAAAAAATGGAACAAATATGAAATTAAGGCCTCCACACTATGATATATTATGAGTGGCTTAGCAATATGCAGATAATCTTGACCACTCACAGTTTGCATTTTTTCTTTTTTAACAATACATAGTAAGTTTATATCCAGTTTACCAGCGATACATATTTGAAAGAAAATTATTACCAGAAATAGATTTTTTGAAGAAAAAATATTACCAGAAATAGATTTAAAAAAAAAAAAATTTGTCAACATTAAATAACCCATTGCGGTTGATACCCCGTAGAACCAAACCAATTTCAATTAAAATGTTATTTCCCTCAAGAAAAGACTATGAGTGAATAATATACATTTCCTATATAATACAATGTTTTGTTTGAGATTATCAGATTATGTATTATTAGTCATTGAATATGAAATAAATTTTTCCTAGTTTATCAGAGTGAAAATATATTCAGAATTTATGTATTAAAATTGATGTTATTTTTTTAAAAAATTTTAATATATATTTATTCCATTGTCAGCGCCAAGATAATGCAATTGATCCTGATGATGAAATAGCATTTTATGGATTCCTCACTATATTAGATGAGGTGCTTTTGCCTAGTTTGACACTGCTGCCTTGTAACTGCTGCCTGTCAGAAGAACTGTGGAGTCTGCTTAAACTGTTTCCTTATGAACTCAGGTAAGCAAAGTTCCTCTTTTTTTCTTCTTTTTTTTTTTTTTTTTTTTAAAGTTGATTATATTTTTAAGTTCTCTGTCTAGTTTATTGTACAACTGTATTTGTCTGTTGCTGTCTCTTTCCTATTTTTGACTTCAGGCATTAATTTGACAAATGTAATGATTACTATTTCTTTGCTTATACACATAGGCTTTAATTCATGAACTACTTAATTTAAATTGTTCGAATTTGTAGCACTTACACCAATAGCATTACAATTCACAGAATTCTGTTAAGTGTTTCTCTTTATTTAAATTGTCTATTGTCCACCTGATAAATTGATAAGATTATATAGTCTCCATAGAAAATATTTTTCCTAAATGGTTTAATTGTTCTGCTCGACTTCTAATTTTAGATATCGTTTGTATGGACACTGGAAAAATGAAACTTACAGCGTGCATGCCCGGATGATTCATGCTAAGGTCAGCTGTTTAGAGAGAGCCAAGTATATTATGAAGTAAGTTGCCTATTTATTATTTTTCAATGACTAGTAAACTATTCTGAACTTTTGTACTAAATAATTAAACCATTAGTATATAGTGTTTTTATTCAGTTCCAATTTTCAATTTTGTTTCAACTATATAATTGAAACAATGCTATGCTCAGGTTTTATATCTAATAGTGAGCTTGATCTTTAAGCATACATAAAAGAATTAATTTCCTTATTAATTAAGTCAGTTGTATCTTTTGGTGTCAATCATATGAATGAATTACATTCTTGTTAAACTGATAGAATTTTGACTTCCTCTGAAAGAAATAGGTAAAATGATTCAAACTTGAAATTAATCTTGCAATTCTGATTGTCATGAATGTGGGATTTTTTTTCAAATTTTCTTTTTTCCTCCACGCCACCTTAAGACGACTTTCTAAGGAAAATGTGAAACCATCTGGAAGACAGTTAGGCAAGCTCAGCCACAGTAACCCTGGTGTTTTGTTTGAATACGTAAGTTGGCTTCTTGATTCATCTTTTTCTTTTAAGATATTTTTGTATGAAATTCATTGGGCTATAAGAATGTGGAATTCAGATGCAAACTTAGAAAAATATATTCTAGAAAAAGTTACAGTTTGAAACTTGTAGAATAATTGAAATCTAAATAGTCTTAAATTTAAATAAAAAAATAATGCACAGTATGCCTTGCAACAGAAGGCCCTATTAATATATTCTGTTATCTTTTAAAGGTTGTAAATTATGAATTTTTTAGAATTCTGAAATTAAAATCTTTTATATAATTATTTAGTGACCCATTTGCATTTTCTTTTAAGAATTTGAAATTACTTGGTAATTGTGATTCTTTTCCTAAAAGATATGAGATTGCTTTTTGCTATTTTCAGGTCCTGTCCCAGATTCAAAAATATGACAACTTCATTGTTCCAGTTGTTGACTCTCTGAAATTTTTAACATCTCTATCATATGATGTTTTAGCTTGTATCCTTAAACACCTGAAAATAAGTATCTTTAACTTTCTATAGTTGTATGCATCACTATTCAGTCTTTCACATTTCAAACGTTTTTCTTCTCTGTAAGAGCAATTATCATGGCTTATCAGATTGTATTTAAGGCTTAATATAAACCATTATGGTGTGATGTAAGGGATAACCGCTCAAAATGAGAAATCAGGGAGACAGGTTCAAATTCCAGTTGGATTATTTACTTGTGCACAAATACCCTTGGGAAAGATATGAATCCATCTCTTTTTCCCCCAGTTATGGGTTGAATAGTAGGACAGACTGGACCCTATAGCCTTTTTTGGCAACATGTTTACCACAAAAAAAACAGCAACCTACTACAAGAAAATTTTTTTGCCTAGTCAGTCTTGTATCAGAAGACATGATTGCCCAAGCATGTATCGTGTATGGTACTTAACTGACTGACTGATAAACATTATAAAACTTGTGTGCTCAGAATTGAAAATCAGAGAGCCAATTTCCATTTCCAGTCAGGTTCGTTATATTCATTTACATGCAAATACTCTTGGGAAAGGTATGAATTCACCTCTTCTTCCCCTCCAAGTTATAGGTTAATTAGTAGGACTTGTATCAGTAAATCATTATCTCAAAAAAAATTCTTACTGTCTTAAAATATTTTCTGGCTTTAAATAACCTGCAAAATGTTGATAAGCCATAAAAAAAACAAATCCTCAATATAAAAATGGTAAATGAAAATCAGTTTTCTGACATTTGATATGCAACTACAATGTGTATGTTTTTTACCTAAATACATGAAGTATTGAAATTTATTACATACTTTAGTGTATTTCTTATTACTATAAACATTGTTTTAGTGGGTATTTAAGTTACTATGCTTGCTTCTCTTTCTCTCTTTTTATAATGAAATTAATAACAATCTAGGGTGATTATTAATTTCACCGTTTTAAGAAAATAACAAAAAACTGGGATAGCAACTCAAATATGTGTACCCGTTTATAGTAATAAATAATGTTACATAAAAAAATTTGTGAGTGCTTGTGTGAGATGCATAAATAAATTCCAGTTACTTACAAGTATACTCAATTGATGAGTAGTTCTGCATATACTATCTGAATATATAAACATGTACATACAAAGTTCCTAAAAATGTGTGCACATATTTCATTCTTGTTCAACAACAGTGCACTACTCTAATTCCAGGACAAATGTCAGGTCTTAGCTTAAGGAAGTAATTTCCAAGCAGAACGATTAAACAAAGAAATAATGTTAAATAATTATTCTGCTCACTCAGGTTAACACTTGATTTCTTATATGCCATCACTTATTATATTTGTCCAATTACAGGCTCGAATTGCAAGAGATGTTAATTGATATTTGCAACTCTGTCTCTCAACAATGTAAGCTACACTTTGCTACCAAAGAAGGCTTTTATAAACACTTAAAGCATTATTCAATCATAAATATTTAATACTTTGCTTTCTAAATTTTATTTTCACATTTAGTCTTTATTGTGAAAGTGTTTAATTTCAGATAATAACTCTTAATTACTATTAACAAAAAGTGCATACACCTTAGGAAAGCTGTATATTGGATTCTAATCAAGAAGTGTGTGAGCCACGTCTTTACTCACATTTCTATTATTTCTTCTTGTGTCAGACACAAGATTAAGAATGGCTGGTGATGGAACTTTACTGTTTAGCTGCTAAACCTTTTCTTAAAGCATCATACTAGCAAGTTAAATATTAAATTGTTTCAGATTATTTTAAAATGAATGTATTAAATAATTCTAGTTCTATGTCACCTCATAAATAAAAAAAACTTTTAAAATATTTGCACAACTGTTTATAATCACTTTTTATTTTATCCTATATGAGATGCATTTTCAAAAGTATCCATTTTTTTGTCCTTAACCAACCTGTAGATTCTATTGTTGAGGCAGTTGCCAATCCTGACCGTGAGAGACTAAAACATGATGACACAAATATATCATTGTGGCTTCAAAGTAAGCATTTAAATTTCATTCTCCTTTAATTTGATCTATGCAGCAGGTGTTTTTCTCGTAAGCAAATTTCATAAATTAAATCTCCACATTTTTTTTTATTTTTTTTTTTTTTTAAATGTGTTAATTATGCTGGAATAAATTTTATATATTTTCCTATCCCCTATATATTTACAAAATTGTCAGTACTGTGAAATAATTTTTGAGTTTTTCTTGATGTTTGATGATAAAAAAAAAAAGTCAGAAAATGTCAAATGTTAATTTCCAAACCTCAAACCCGGACAGTTTTCAATTTTTATTATAGGTTTAGGTTCTTATGTAATAAAGTTTTTTTTTTTGTTTTTTTTTTTTTGGTGACCCTTTTTAAACTTCATAGCTGACACACGAAAAAGAAAAAACAAATATTGGTAGCTTATATCTATAGCAGGACACCAAGTAGACCCCTCAAATTGGTATGTATGATAAGCCTATCAAGACTGGAAATACCAACAGAATGGTTCAGTGAGTATGTAGACCAAAACAAAAAAAAAAAAAAAAAAAAAAAAGCTGTGAAACAAATCAAAACAAAAAAAAACAAGTGGTGCTTTCAACAGATAACAAAACAGCATGAGAAAGATGTACATACACTCACACACTGAGAACATGTAGTAGTAGGGATCAGCACAGAGGAAAATTTTCTTTTCAGAGTTCTTTAACAAATTCAAACTCGTCTTTTGGGAGCAGGGCGGTTAGAAGCCGCTTTGTTTTCTTTGCTTCTGCTCTTATTAACTCTACTTAAATGTTTGTATGCATAAACAGCCCAAGGCTTTTGTTTAGGTATTTTCCTGTAGTAGCAGCCTTAGAGCAGATTTACCTTTTACTCTTCTGGCCAGAAATAGAAGATTCTGAATCCTGACAGCTCTTTGTCAACAACCAAGAAAATGCTTCTCTTCCTCATTATCATCCTTATTATCCTTTATTATTATTCCTTATTATCGTTATTGTTATATAGAAATAAAGTGTTGTTGCTGGCACTTGAGTTTGAACATAGATCACCAGTGAACAAACAGGCAATCCCATTATTGAATTAAGTAGATTATGTGACCATAGAGGAAATGCATATATATAGAAAGTAGCTGATGACTGACAATCTACATTTCTAGTCTATCCTCTATACGATTTGGATCTGCATTTCTAGTCTATCCTCTATTACTATACAGACCACTTTTCTCTACTCTGTTCGCTATACTATTTCTCTATTTGGATCACTATTCGGTGGTTACTTGTTGAGCGAGTGATATTCAAAGGTGTCTGACACAAGTATTGTTCAGTGGTGTACTAAAGTTGTATCTGCGATTACAAAGTCTCTACTACAACAAACATTAAAAAAGCGACAAGTATTTGTTGGCATTTCAAAAGTGGCGACGAGTGTTTGTTGACATTACAAAAGTGGCAACAAAGATTCATTGAACTTACACGAGGATTCATTCAGCAGAATACAGCAGAATACAGCAGAATGGAAAAGCTAAAAGCTATCATGGCTCAAATGTTGGCACTACAGAAGCAACAACATGGACAACAGTTGCAGCAACAAAAATTACAGTAAGAACAACATTTTCAGCAACAAAAATGACAACACTAACTGCAATTGCAACTAAGACAACAGAAGTTTTTTTGAATTGTTTACCAAAACCATGGAAGGAAAACTTAGATTCATTCACTCCAGATACTGTTGCTAATTCAATCAGCGAATTTGTATACAATCCAGAGGAAGGGATAACTTTCCCAGCTTATAGATATGAAGGGATCTTCAAAAAGGATTGTTTGCATTGGAATGGAATGATGAAAAGAAAGTTTGGTTATTATTAAGGAAATTGTTCCCTGCTGAACATGTAAAATATATATTATATAATTATATTTTGCCAAAAAAAACAGGAGAGATAAATTTTGATGAAACTGTTCTAATACCATCAAAAAGCTTTTGGTGATAGGAGCTCATTATTTAATACACAGTGGCAATGTATTAACATAGTGAAGTCCAAAGAGGAAGATTTTGTCACTTATGCAGGAGTTGTGAATCAAGAATGTGAAAATTTCAAGTTAAATGAATTAACTCCTGATTTATTTAAATGCCTGATATTCGTACAGGGTTTACCTTCTAATAAGAATGCAGAGATAAGATCCAGGATACTTGCTAAATTAGAAATGGATTCCAAATTAACTCACCAGAAAATAGCGAAAGAATGTCAACATATTGTGAATTTGAAACACAATACCACAAGAATTGAGGAAAAAGACAATTCACAATTACATGGTGTCTGACTATCTAAGAGAAAAAAACTACAAACATTTTTCAACTCCTAACAGAACAGGAAAAAAAAGACTATAAAACCCAATGCCTAATACTTGTCATGGTTGTGTAAGCATTTTAAAAGTAATTGTTTCTTCAAGAACAAAAAATGTTATGAATGTGGGAGATTAGGATACAAAAGTATGTGTTGCAGATACAAAAAATGGAAGAAAAAAAAGAAAACATGTAAACATGATAAATACATGGAGTACTGATAAGAAGCCTTAAAGGAAAATTAACAAGACATCTCAAGAGGAAATTTGTTTTTGTGCAAATTAATGATGTAAAAATAAAATTGCAACTAGATACATGATCTAATATCACTATTGTAAATGAAGAGACATGGAGAAAAAATGGGTAAACCCAGTTTATTGACTTCTGATAAAGTTGCACATAGTGTCTCGGGAAAGAGATTGAACTTTTTGGGTGAATTCAGCTGTAATGTTTCTTTTGTGGGGGAAAAACCAAAAAAGCAGTGGTGTTTGTATTAAAGAATACTACTAATTTGCTTGGAACAGAGTGGATTGCATGGTTTGATCTTTGGATCTTCCAATTAACTCTTTGTAACAACATAAATATTGTTATGACCAGTACTAATATGGCAACTGAAAAATTGAAAAATGAACTGAAAAAGACTTTTCCAAAAGTTTTGGGGACATGTACAAAAGCAAAAGCTAAGTTTGAGTTAAAAGAGAATGTAACACCAACATTTAAGCCAAAAAGGAGTGTACCTTTTGTGGCCTTACATCCAATTAATAATGAATTGGACTGACTAGAAAAATTAAGGGTGATATCAAAAATAGACTATTCCGAATGGGCAATGGAAGTAAATTTTTTTCTAAATTGGACCTGTCAGACGCTTATCTACAAATACTAGTGGACAAAGACTGCTCAAAACTATTAACAATTAACACTCAGAGGGTTATACAAATTCAACCAACTTCCTTTTGGTATAAAGGTAGCACCAAGCATATTCCAACAAATAATAGATACCATGCTTGCCAGTTTGAATTGTGCTCAAGCATATTTGGATGACATAGTTATTAAAAGTAAGACCTGGAAGCAACATACAGATTATGTTAAAAAAAAAAAAAAAAAAAAAAAAATGAGAGAATTAAGGAATAAGGTTTTAAGATTAGTGAAGGAAAATACAAATTGTTTATGTCCAGACTTAAATATTTAGAACAAATTATTGATGAAAACTGTAGACGACTGGACTCTTGAAGAGCGAGCACAATAAGAGATATATCTGTTCCAAAAGTTACAAGCATTTTTGCTAATTACTATCATATATATATATATATATATATATATATACACACACACACCAAACATACACAAATTAAGAGCACCCTTGAATAACCTACTGAAGAAAGATGTGAAATGGAATTGAACAGATAAATGTCAAAGTGCTTTCGATTTGTCGCTAGCTCATTTTGATCCAAAATTAAAGATTGTGGTTGCATCAGATGCAAGTGATACAGGTATTGAAGCAGTGATACTACACAAATATGAGGATGGAACAACTAAACCAATAACTCATACTTCAAGATCATTAATTGCAGGTGAAAAAAAACTACAGCCAGATTGAAAAGAAAGCATTGTCAATCATATTTGCTATGAAAAAGTTTCATAAATTCATACACCATAGAGAATTCATACTACAGACAGACCATCGTCCATTATTGTCCATATATGGATCAAAAAAGGTGTTTCCACACATACAGCAAATAGACTACAATGCTAGGGAACTATCCTATTGAACTATAATCATAAAATGGAATTTCTGCCATCCAAAAAATTTAAGTCATGCAGACTGATTGTCTTGACTAATATCAAGATTCTGTGAACCACTTGAAGACAGTAATTGCAGCAATAAGGGCCAGAAATGAAATTAATAATGTATTATAAAATACTGTAAGAGAACTGCCCATAACATTGGAAGAAATAAGAATTAAGGTGAAAAAGCTCAACTTTATAATGAAAATGAAGAAGCAATTAAGATTTAAAGGAAAAAATATGACTGGAAACAATGCATTTTCATTATGTAATGATGTACTTATGTAAGCAGAAAGAATTGTGAGACCAGCATCTTTGCAAAAACGTATGCTAAAAGAACATCCAGGAATTTCTAGAATGAAATCCTTAAAAAGGTGTTATACTGATTGGCCAAAAATGGATCATGATATCGAAAATTTAGTGAAATCATGCAAAGGTACTCTGGCAGCAAAGTCACTGTCTATCAAAATTCAACCTTGGCTAAAAACTGACATGCCATGGTCCAGAATATATATAGACTTCACAGGACCATTAAACAGAACTTACTATCTAGTGGTAGTTGATAGTTACACTAAATAGCCATAAATATTAAAATGTAGAAGACCGACTGCTGCAGTAATGATAAATTTCTTACACAAGATTTTTGCAAGGTTTGGTGTTCTTGACTCTATCATTTCAGATAACGGGACTCAATTCATGTCTAGTGAATTTAAGTTTTTTTGCAAATCATTAGCAATAGAACATTACAGGTCCCCTTTATTACCCAACATCAAATGGACAAGAGTAAAGGTTTGTCAATACGTTAAAAGGGCACTAAAAATGTCGGAAGGTTACAGAATAACACCAAACCCGAGCAGTGTCTGGAATGTCACCTGCAGAATTGATATTTGCCAGGATGATTGAGTCCGTATTTAACAAATTACTACCAGGACAGAAGACGAGAACATCAAGGAATCAAAATAATATAATATAAATGAATGTTTTAAACTTGGTAATAAAGTGTGTGTGTTTTTGTTTTTTTTGTTTTTTTTTAATGTACCAACATGGAAAATTCTGGGAACATGGCATTATAAAAAAAATGAATCAGAAAAATGACATACATGCTACAGGAACAAAGGTGGGAACATAAGCATCACCTTAATCAGTTAAAACAGAGATTCACTGATTTAGTAAGTCCCCGGAAATAGGTACCAATGGAAATATTGTGGGACATGTTTGATGTACACACACCTCCAGAAATTAGTGAACATCGGAGGTACAAAAGAACAGCAATGGAACATTTGAATATTGAACCGAAGCTGAAGAAATACAGACTCCAGAGGAAGTCAGCTCAAAGGGGAGGTGTTACATAGGAATAAAGTGTTGCTGCTGACACTTGAATTTGAACATAGATCGCCAGTGAGCAAACACAGGCAATCCTATTATTGAATTAAGTAGACCACATGACCATGGAGGGAACACATATATGTAGAAAGTAACTGACGACTAACAATCGCCATTTCTAGTCTAACCTATTACTATTCAGATCACCATTTCTATTCTATCCTCTATTACTATACAGGCCACTCTATTCACTATACTAGTTCTCTATTCTGATCACTATTCGGTGGTTACTTGTCAAGCAATTATTATCGAGCAAGTATCATTATTGCAAGTGATATTCAAAGACGTCTGACACCGGTATTGTTCAGCAGCATACTATAGTTGTATCAGTGATTACAAAAGTGGCAATGAATGTTCATTGACATCACAAAAGTTATGCTATTCATTCAAATTTTTCAAAGTTCCAAAATTGAAACTGTCTGGTCTCTTCTATTGATCCTTTCTACCAATCAGGGAATGGTAAACTGTCAGAGAAAATTAATGATATTTTGAAAGAGAAATTACTTCATTTATTTTCAAACTCAAATAACCACATTTAACTTATAAATTTAAATTATTTTTATCTCAAAATATGAATGGAGTAGAAAAGTTATTTCTCTTAGTTGATATGCAATGTTAACATAGAAAAGTTAAAATTTATGAAATGTAAAAATTAAACTTTAATATATATTATAAAATAAGAACATTCACTAGATATATCCTTTTTCCAAGAATATAGAATTTCTCTATTTTATCAATGGCAAACACATTTATAAATTTTACTTTATTCCTAGTAAAAAAATTTTCTTGTGTCTGCATAAACTATTTAGTTGAACTGAATGTATTCTATAGTTTCTTTTTTGCGCATGCAAATGTTTTAAATATAACTAAATTTTAGATAATTTTGAAATTACTAGATATTCCTCATTCATATTCTACATATAAAAATGTTTTTTTTTTTTTTTTTTTTTTTTTTACAGTATTTTTAGATTCTTGTTTATCAGTAAAAATGTTTAAAAGTCTTTGTAATGATGTTTGTATTTTCATTTCTTCATAAGTATCAAATGAATGAAAGAAAAAAAATTCTCTAACTTGTTTTGTCCTCTAAAAAGACTTCATTGGGTTAAAGTAATAAAGTCTGTCTAGTGGACTTTTTCCCACTTTTTCATTCATTTGCTTAACATTGTTCTGATATATAGAAATTTATATATCATATTCATTCATAAGTAACAAACAAATTCAATCTTTTTTTTTTCTTTTTCCACAGGCTTAGCAAGTTTTGCTGGCTATATATGTAGGAAATACCCAGTCGAATTGGCAGGTCTCATGCAATATGTAGCTAACCAGCTGAAAGCAGGGAAGAGGTAATAATTGCTATTTAACTATTATAATTGTTTCCCAACAAAAGGTTCTACAAATTCATTTGCACTTTACATTCTATTTCAATGTGACCATTTTAAGATAATGAAACATGTCCAACTTTTCTTATTTTCCAATTAACACATCCTATTTCAAAAAACTGAAAGCAAGCATTACAAGTTATAACTGTGTTCCATCAAAAATATAATAGTTATTTTTCAACTTAGTATTTTAGTATAGTTTTCTGCATATTGAATGTATGTAAGTTTTTTTGGATAGATTTTTTTTTTTTTTTTGTATAATCTTTGAGTTATTAGCATTTCAAAAGGCATTGAACTGGCATAAATTTACATGAATAACAGATACCTAGGGATAGCCCCCATTTTTTAAAAACTATATTTAATTTCATTTGATACTTCTTGATTATCTGCTAATTATTTTAATTTTTCAGTTTTGATCTTCTGCTACTCAGAGAAATAGTCCAGAAAATGGCTGGTATAGAAATTTCTGAAGAAATCACAGATGACCAACTTGAGGCTATGTCTGGTGGAGAGTTATTGAGACAGGAGGTATCCATAATCAGCAAATGTTACTTTTCGCTTTTTACATGATGCTAATTCAAAATATATTTACTATCTTAATATTTATATAAATTCATAAATACTATTTGAGTGAAATTAACTGAAAAAGTATATAAATGTCCCACAGTAAAACTTTTTACATTTCTTTCAGGGAGGCTACTTCGCCCAAGTACGAAATACCAAGAAATCATCTACTCGTTTAAAAGATGCTCTATTAGAACATGGTCTAGCACTTTCTCTCTGTCTTCTTATGGCCCAACAGCGAGATGGAGTTGTTTATAAGGAAGGGAATGAAAGACATTTAAAATTAACTGGAAAGTTATATGATCAGGTAACAAAAATGGACAATAACTTTGTTAATATAATTTTTTATTTTTTTATTTTTAATCATTATATTTTAAAATAAAAACTTATGTACCATTCTCTGTTTTATTATGATGATTTAAAATGTTGTAATTATGGACATAGAACTTTATAAAAATTCCTTTCATTATAAATTGTATGAAAAACTTAAGCTTTTCTCTCTTCTGAGTAAAATTATTCAATATAAAGATTATAGGTTATAAAGTATTTTACAAACAAAACTATCCTGTTGCATCTATTATTTCCACTGGATTTAATTTCTCCAAGCAAAATATCAACTTACATGGCATAATTCTTATTTTAAAGCTTTCATCCAATAAAACAAAAGTGCAGTTTTCTGATTTTGTTTTTTTATGAAAATAAAAACAGTTAAATATTTTTCAAAACAAATGCCTGTAAGTGAAATATTTCTTTGATTAAAATGTTCTTATAATCGTTTACAAAAGAAAACTACAATAAATCTGCTTTTATATGAAAAAAAAAATCGTTTCAGATCATCAACATCAGTCAGGAAATAAGTAAACATATTAGACAAATTCTAGATATTCAATCCAAGATAAATAATTAAACAGCATCAACATTGCACAATTAAACACAATATTTTTAAAGTATTATTCTTGAATGTAAGATAATATGCTCATTAAATATCACTTTTGGTAAAACTTTCTTTTCTTTTTTTTTTTTTTTTAGTGTCAGGATACATTAGTTCAATTTGGAAGTTTCTTATCAATGCAACTAAGCACAGAAGAATTTATTAAGAGATTGCCACCAATTAATGAATTGATTGGCACTTACCATGTTCCTCATGATGCTGCTTTCTTCTTGTCCAGACCATTGTATTCCTATGCTGTCAATGTGAGTACTAAACAGTTTATTTTATTAAATCTTTAAATTTTGTTTCTTTTGGAAATTTCATTTATTAAAAAATGTACCTGCTCATGTTAAAATGCAATATAAAAAAAATTATTGTATTTATTGTTTTATCTTATGATTTAGACTAAATTTGAAGAACTGAAAAAAACTGATAAATCTAATAAACCACTTTCAAGTCAACAAAAGGTAAGAGCCTTTCAATTTTATATTAATTATTGGTGTGATCAATGAAAAATACAACTTTCATATATATATATATATATATATATATATTTTGATGTTTATCCATTTTTTTTTCTGTTAGAAATATGATATGTGCTTTTATATGATACATAATATTTATAAAATAATCGTTGTTCCAGCCAAAATGGTTATTTGTTCAATGTAGGTATTTGCTTTTTAAGGGTACCTATTAATCAGAGTTAAATTCTAAGACTTGTACTCTTTTTCCCTTCTTCAAGTAATGAACTATATTGAAAATTTGATACTTTATTTCCTGTAGGTTCAACCAGTCCATATTGTCATCTTTGACAAAGCTATAATTTTAACCAAATTAAGCTCATGATGAAGTACTATTGTTTTCATTATTAATTTTCTTTTTATCCTATTTTTGTTAACTTTTATTGAAATGTTTTCAATAAAAAGTATGAAAAAAGAAAACTATTCAAAAACTTAAAATGACTATGCTTCATGTAAGAAATTTGAACAACTTAAAACTATTAGTGCTTTATTTAATGTAATTTATCATATTTCAAATATATCTTCCAATCCCACCCCCAATTCAACAAACCTTACTTTATTTCAATTTTATGATACTATTTTGTTGGTCATATGAACTTAAAGAGATTTAATGTACATGGGGGATATATAAATTAATTTTTTGAATTGATTCATATTTGGTTTCTCTAAGCTTTCAATCTGAGTATTTATCCTTATCAGACTCAGAAATATGTGGAAGCAAGTGCAATTGTTATGGAACCTGTGATAGAGCTGATACGCCCTCTGTATCCAGCAAAAGTATGGGATGATCTGAGGTAAGTAGGTAGTTATGGCAACACTGTTTTCCTTAAGGACTATGACACTGAAAAGTTAACCTAAAACTAACAATTTATTTCTTTTTTAAATTTAATTTTGATTTATAGACCAATTCCAGTAACTTAGTTTTCTTATATGAATATCTATTTAGATTAAATTAAAAATGTTAAAGAAAAATATAATGCTGGTTATATTTACAATTTAAAAGTTTCAAATGTTATTTTTTAACAGTATGAGACAATAGATTTCTTATGACAACTTTTCTTTTCTTAGCTTTTGAGAATTTATTTCAATTGTAATAATTTTCTTTACTTATTCTCTTGCAGCACTCATTTTTATATGACTTTTTGGGCTTTATCTATGTATGATCTTCATGTTCCCCATGCTGCCTATGAGAAGCAAACACAACAGTTGAAGACACAGATTGCTGCCATTGATGAAAATGATCTAGTATGTTTCATATCTATTATAAACTTCAAAGATCTGAGATATTACTTTTACTCAAAATTTTACTAGAACTTTCATTTTAGATTATTACAATTTGGTTATCTGCACTTTTCACTCAAATTTTATCTGTTGTAAAAAGTGACTATTAAATATATATGAAAAGTATGTCAATTTGTATTCATTTAAAATTTGTAAGTGCTTATACTGAATACATTTGTTTCAGACCAAATGTTTCCAAATAAGATATTCTTTAAAAATGAATTTTTAAATTCTTTACAATTAATCATGAATTTCATGTTAGCATTATGCTTCTGATTGCTCACAACCCCTGAAACCATTCCAGATAATATGAACTTTGTGTTCATAATGTGGGTACCTTGATAATACATAGTCTTTTTCATTTCCTGTGTCAGATTTGAAGCTGCCATGTAATGTTTCCAATATGTATGAAAGAGAATTAATGTTATGCATCCCACAAAACACTAATCAGTGGGGTTTCTTCCATTTATGACCTGATAAATGTGTGTATACCTAGTGCATCCTGCATATAAACCATTATCCATTGCTTTGCAATGTACAAACTGTGTTAAACTTTTTAGCTTCCTATACCTATGAGTTTCATGAGCCAGTTGAACTATAGATGTCTAAAATAGCAAAAGTATATTCTTAACATATAACAGGCAACTGTCTAGTCAGTAAAGAATTCCACTTAACTCAAAAGAAAAAAGTTACATCTGCAAATAAAATACATTAAGGACCTCCAATCGGTTATGAACTAGGGCAGGAATTGGCTAGTCAACTTTAATGCCTCAAACAAAACTGCTCTCTATTAATCACCACAGAGATCCTTCCTTTTCCCCCATCAGAATGTCTGACGCTCAACTTCTTGAGAGCACCTTTTTGCAGCTGCTCAGTCTCACGTTGACTGCTGACCTGAGATGGAACAAATACATTGAGTCAATTGCTTCGTCCACTACAAGGAAAGTTGGCTCCCTGTGCCACGCCAGGAAATTTTTCTCTCCAGAATCGATCCTTCAGATCTACAAATTAACAATTTGCTCTTGCATGTATTGCTGCCATATATGGTCTGGAGCCCCTTCTGTTTGCCTCGGGGTTCTTGATAAGATCCAGAGGCAGATATGCAATGTAATTGGCCCTGATCTGGCATCTCGTCTACAGTCGCTCTCTCACAGACGCGCCGTCGCCTCTCTCTGTCTTTTTTACAAATACTTTCATGGTAATTAAGGAGCTGCATTCACTGGTTCCCAGACTTCATGAATTCAAGTGCCCTACGAGGCTGGCCGCTCTCACCCTTTCACTGTTGAAACTATTAAATGTAGCCGTCTCTTCTACTCCAATAGCTTCATATCTCACACCTCTCGCCTGTGGAACTCCCTTCCTCTATTCCTGTTTCCCTGAGAGCTATAATCTCCAACTATTCAAATGTAATGTCAATCGACATCTCCAGTTGCCTTGATCTATCCATTATCCTTCTCTTCATTCTTTCCTCTATCACTCCTATCTGATCTTGTTCCAAATCTTCTGTAACCCCTTGTGTCCTAGTGGCTTCCCGCCTTGCTTGGGCTGAAACGCTTATATATATATATATATATATATATATATATATATATATATATATATATATATAGAGAGAGAGAGCAAGAACAATATTGGAGAAATTGTATGACAAAGTGGAAAAAAGTTTACTTGCGACACATTACATCCTTCAGGATTTCATCAGGTGATGAAGTCCTGAAGGATAAAATGCAAAATGCATCACAAGTAAACTAATGTATATATATGCTGTACTGCTTGCCATTCATACTAGAAGCTCCTATAGGAATATTTCAGGGTGGGGACAGTGCAGAGGGCTCAGAGTTGAATGAGTCTAATGGTGATTATTGAAGGTACGGCAGCTTGGAAAATTCACTCTGATCATTCTGATAAGAAAAGAATTTGTTGATGAGGGCCTCAGACTCAATACAGAGGCCTACATCAAGTGCCTTGAGGAGATAGTGCTTCCCTGGGCCATGAAGGGGGTTGCTGGAAGACCCTGTCTTGCTACAGGACTCTGCATAATGCCACAGAAACAGAAGAACCCAGTCATGGCTGTCAAATAATTTCTGCAACTACATCACCCCTTACATCTGGCCACCTAATGCCACCAGACTGCAATCCCCTTGGTTATTATGTGTGGGGCACAGTTGAGCAAGACAAACAAAGCTCACAAAGATGAACTGAAGGCAAGGATCATGGGGCAGCATTCACCAACTTAAACAAGGATACTGTCCAGAAGAGTTCTAGGAGATTCTGACAATGGCGATTTTATTGAATAAATTTACTCTTTAGTATTTCTGTTAAAATGAGTTGTCAGTGTTATTTTCATTTTTGCATAATTTAGATGACAATTTATTCGTCGCACCCTGTGTATTTTTATTTATCCTTGATTTTCAGCCACAAAGCAAAAAGAAAAAAGACAAAGAAAGATGTACTTCTCTCATTGAAAAACTGAATGATGAAGAGAAGAGACAGTCTGATCATGTGCAGAGAGTTATGGCTCGTCTGAAACATGAGAAAGATTCTTGGTTCCTTTGTAGTAAGTCTTTGATTTCAACTCTTACAGCTTCTCTAGCTATTGCTTTATATCAACAATTAAATTCATATACTCTATTTTTATTTCCTAAAAAGCAAGCATTTACTGCTTTATAATTTCTTTTGTAATTATCCTTATCTCTTTACAAGCATTTCAATTACAAAATGAAAAATAAAAGTTAGACTATTATAACATTAAAATAACCTAATTCTTCAGTGTCTATTTGTTTTTAAAAAGTATTTTTTCCTAATTTTGATATTCTTTAAAAATAAAAAATACACATGAAATCTTTTTTTGTTTATGCATATCCTATATGGTATTGTGTTTATCCCATAAATCTTATACCATATATGAGAAGAAATGTATATTAAATACTTGGCATCTTCCATTTCTTCTGACCAGAATTTCTGTGTGCTTTTCCTTTAACATTTTCAATAATTGATTGTAGGATCCACCAAAAATGAGATGATCACTCAATTTCTGCAGTTGTGCATTTTTCCACGCTGCTGCCTGACAGCCAGTGATGCCCTGTATTGTGCTAAGTTTATCTACATCCTACATGAGCAGAAAACTCCTAACTTTTCTACTTTGATCTGCTGTGACAGAGTAAGTATTTAATTCTTAATTAATCTACAACTATTAATTTTTCTCTTTGCTCCAAGATATATTTATTTTAAAAATAAAATTAATCTTAAAAGAATTATAATTTAAATTTTGTGATACTTAAAAAAAATTACTGACGCTTTGGCATTCAACCTTACTTGACGATTGTCACATATTAAACTAAAATGAGCTATATGAAAATTTTTTTTTTTTTAAGTTTTTATGTCTACTTAGATAAATTGTATCTTTAGAAATTCATATAGTTTGGGAAAATCTCAAATGTATTACAATTTTCTGCCAATTTTTAAATGTTAAAATAAAATCTACTTTTAAGATTTATGTACAAAACAAAATATGGAGGTATCTCATTGTAACATTCCAGCTGTTATACATTTCTATAAACAAACTACATATTGTAACTCAGTCTGCATAATCTCTGCTTATAGATGCATTAAGAGCTGCTCTCTTTGACTTCTGAAACAAAGCTGATGAACATAAGGCATTAATTTTTTTTACTGATGCATTTGTTATATAAAATCAAACTAGAAAAATACATGCAATTTTAAAATTGGAAAATGTGGGTGGTTTAGATATAAATCTACATCATATATATCTCATAATCTCAGGATGCAAAAATTAAAGAAATAATTTTTGAGTTTAACAAGTTTTGATTCTTACATCTGCAGAAGAAAAGCTAAATACTAAATCTCCAATGTGCATAGTTATTAACCTGATAGAACTTGTCATTTATCCATCATTTATGATTGGCCATTGTACATTGATCTTTATGCTGACTACAGGTGGTCATTTGCATGAAAAATGTTAGACATATTGTTGATTTTCAATATGCTCACCTACATTCAGTTATGACGTCACAATCCTGCCCTCGGTCACCAGACAAGTCAATGGCTGATCCTTAGACAGTTGGTTGCTCAAGTTTTTATTTTAGATCACAGGGCAGGCAAAGGCCAAGTCATATACTCAATATCACTGATCCAATAGCTTTGGCAAAATGACGTCAAAAGGAACAAAGTCAGTCTTTGTGCACAAGCTTTATATCAAAGGTTTGGCAAAAATTATGGGTCTTGAACCAAGCCACATGTAAACTGGTACAAGGCTGAAGTGTCTCTTTGGGCTGACCATTCAATTTGTACAACAAGCAGAGTCTTTCTGAACTGCACAGGGTTTGGCAAAGTGGGTTAACCAACTGACAACATTCTTGCATCTCTGTCTGGTTACTCCTTCTTGTCTCTCGTCTCACTTGTCTGTATTTATTGACACTTATGAAAACCTGGTGTGGGGCATGGGGTGGTTGGGAAATTGATTGCCTGACCAAATTTGGGGAGATTCCTCCTGCAAAGAGTGGTGATGGCAGAATATCTATCTGCCCAACTTCTTCCATCTTGTGTAGGTGCCTGTCACCATCACCGCCCAAAGCGTGCCTGCAATTCCTCTGCCTTCCTTGAAATTCTACCTGGGCCTCTACCTCTCTCTTTGTCTCCTGATCAAACCTGTTCCCAGAGGCTAGGCATGGTCTAGCCCAAATTGCTAAATTCAGTTATCATCCAAAATTTCCATCAGTGGGGAATTCTTATCACATACTTGTGGAGTCAGTTGCATCTGGGATTTGTCACCTGTCGCTTCCCTTTGCCAGCTCTTTGGCTATCAAGTGACCAAAAGAGACGATTCCTTTGTTACATTTTGTCACATCTTAGACAGGCAAAAAAAGAAATATAACTACAATTCTATCCCTGTTTTCCTTTGGAAACATGTCAGTCTCAAAATCCAAGTCTTATCAACTGACTGAATTTTGGCTAGAGACTTGCTGTTAGCCTTTGTTGGTGACTTTCCCATTACCCACTTTATTCAACCTCATTCCCTTGTTTGCACTTGAGGTCATTAAAATATAATTTATTTTACTGTGCAGGGGCAGTTGAACACTTAAAAAAAAATACCATCACTTAATATTAATTTGACCAAAAACAGATGGCTTCTGTGCTAACCATCATCAGCATCTCAACCCTGTGATGGGGAGAGAAAAGAAAATAAATATCTTTTCCTTTCATTTTCCTTGTTTTGTTATCAGTATACTTTCAGTCTATCAAAAAAACAGCACTTCTTGTCTTCCAGTTTATTTTTAAAGCCTTTTTTCCAATTTACTAGTGCCTTATTAATACACAATAATATAACCTAATTCTGTAAAGTACATTTAGTCTTTCATTTTTTCTTAAATCATCAATCCCATCTAGGAAAAGATTTGATTAAATAGTTAACTTAGTATTTTCTGTTGAATCTAAGTAAACAGCAATCTAATGGAACTAAAGCAGTTAAGCAATTTTTAACTAGTCTAAACTAAAGAGGCATACTTTGGGCAAGGAACATGAAATTTTATACAAATGAAAATACAGAAAATTATTTAGAAATTATTTAGAATTAACAAAGCACCCATCCTTATCTGGGTTTATAAATGTCTAAAATAAATACAGTCACATAGAGAAAAAATCACAGCCTATAATGTTCACTTTAAGATGTGTTCATATGTCAAGTTTCAGCTTTGTACAAAATTGTGGCCTACAACTTCAAACATATATACTTAAAATTTCCACTACAATTTTCTATATAAAAATAAAAATGAGTTGCTTCCCATGAACCATGAAACGTGTTTCAATTAAGCCATTTTGATAGCTTTAAGTACAACTCAAAAAATGTCAGCTGCTTTTTATTCCTATGCCAAATTGCAGCTTCATTTGGCCTATAAATTGAAACATGCATAGTGAGTATCTTTACTCACTTTACAAATTAATCTAATCATGTAGTATTTTTTTTTCTTTTTTGACTGTTCCTACTCAAATTATTAACTGCATTAACAAGAATGCTTGGAATTCACTCAAAGATTTGTCTGCCATTTAACCAAAAAATTGAGCATCTTTTGTAGCCTTTTATCATGACATCAACTCATCCACCTTCATAGATAAATTTAATTCTATTAATCAGTAAGTTCTACCTTTTAAATAAAAAGACTTGTTCTTCATGCCTTAATTATCCTTCAATAAAAGAGAATTACACATTTACCATTTCCCAAATTGTAATTATTTTTTTTACTTCCAAATATTCTGTATTCATTTTTATTTTATTTACTTTTTTTTAAAGATTTTCTGTGATATTACATACACAGTAACCAGTTGCACTGAGAATGAAGCTCATCGTTATGGACGTTTTCTCTGTGCAGCTTTGGAAACTATTATGAAGTGGCATAACGACAAAGCTACTTATGAAAAAGTGAGTAATAAATTTTAATAATTCATAGGCAGCAAAGAAGGAAAGCAAGTTGTACTGAGAACACTTTTAAAGTTTTTTAAATATCTTATATGTATTGTATTTATTTCGCACATTCATGCATTTTAAACCAATATATTTTTGTTGAATTTTGTGTTGAGTGAACAAATGCAAATTTTGCTTACTGAGTATTTTTGAAAGTGGAGTTCATTGGAATCCTAACATTATGCAAGAAAAATTTTATTTAAAAAAAAAAAAAATCTTTTTTCTTCTTTTTTTTTTTCTTCAAGAATAAACATACCAAATTTGATTCAAGTCACTCAAATTCTCAGCAATTCCACTTAAATTATTTAGATCCCCCCCCTCCTGTAAATGTCCTGATAAAAACAACAAAAGACTTTTGTTTGTGAAAAGTTTTTTTCCCAGATCAGAAAACTTTCTTTATCTCAAGTGTTGAATTTATTAAATACCTAACTTCTTTTCTTTCTTTTTTTTTAAACTGAAAATAAAATAGCTTTGATGTAGTTATCTTTGTTTTGATCAAATTATAACTGCCTTTTTATTTTAAAACAAAAAAAATGGCAATTTTTTAAATGAAATTTGTTTACTTTTCAGTAAGAATGCTGAATTGCCTCCTGACAATCACTTTCACCTGAGAATGAAATTCAGGATGTCTACTTTCATAAAATCAACTTTTTATGATATATTTTAATATATTTTTCTTTTATGCAGTTTTAAATGCTTGATATGACTTCAAGAAACACAGTTGGAGAAAATTTGTTTATATGAAAATTTGTAACTACAAACCACTGGAATTAACTGATTACAATTGATAATTTTATGAGATATGTTTAATGTCTTGCAATATGCAATGGTGGAGCAAAGGTAAAGTAGAAAGAGTTAACTTGTTGCAAAAAACAGTAAATACTGCATTCTTTTTCTTCTCTCTCTCTCTCTCTCTCTCTCTCTAAATCATTTCACCCCAAGCAAGGCAGGAATGCCACTAGTATGAAGGGTGAAAGTGAGAAAAAAGAATGGGTTTAGGGGGATTGAGGAAAAGATAAAAGATGAACGGGATTCAAGAAGACAGAAGATGGCAATTGATGTTTCATTTAAATTTTTGAAGATTGTAGCTTTCAAGGAAGCAAGCAAACAGAAGAGTCTCACAGACGGGAAGTGCAAGAAAAGAAATTGTTGGAGTAGAAGTGGCAATTACATTTAACTATTTCAACCATAAAAGAGTGGGACTTAGATACCAATCTAGTAACATGTTTAAATTCATGTAGTCAGGCCACCAGGGAGGGGAAAAAAGCTTGTCAGCGCAGTTGCCACAGAAGTCACATCATGTCAGTGAGAAAATGACTGAAGTTTAGATGCCAAGTCAGGATTGATTGCATTACAGATCCTTCTTTGAATTTTGTCAAGAACTTCAAGATGAATAGCATGAACACCAGACCAGATATGGCAACAGTATTCAATGCACAGATAAATGGTACATTTGTAAATGTGCAAGATGGGCTCTGATGAAGAAAAAAAAAAACTTCTGACCCTACTTTCCTTGCAGTAGATGCAGCTATTGATTCAATGTAGTCATTCCACTTCAAGTCACTTGAAAACATGAGGCCAACAAGGTGTAGTGTGTTGCTCTCCAGGAGCTTAGCTATAATGATGGCAGGCAGGAAAGTTAAATGAGAGCAGTTTCATTGTGGAGGCATTAAAATTCACAAGCCATTTTCTGCCCCAGTTAACCACTGATTGGAGTTTCTTTTCAAGAGCAGCAGCCAGGTTAACTTTGTTAGCTCTGACAGATTTGCTATCTATTGAGTCAGGAGTAAATGGTAGTGTTATCTGCATAAATGCCTACTTGGGAACTGATCATTGATAATATAGGACCCAAGATAGAGCCTTGGGGGACACCAAGTTCATGTCCCAATTTCATGATTTGAAAGGAACGATTGGATTAAATCAAACACTTATCCTGTAATATTGTAGCCCAGCTAAACCCTGTCTAACACCTTCAAGATATCTAGAGCCTCAGCTCAAGCATTGCCATTATCAAGAGCTTGATATAGATATTCAATGATGGTTGTTAGCACATCAGCAGTAGACCAGGCAAAATGGAAGCCATATTGAGATGTTTACAGACTCTACCACATGATCAGAGTTGCCAAGAGAACAGATCTGCATTGTACAACATGAGCCAGGGATAGAGATAAAAAAAAAAAAGAGATCTAAAAGAAAAGTGTGTACGTCAGGATTACTGGGGAAACATATGGTGATGTCCACCATTTGCTTGAGTGACTGAGAAGTTCAGTATTTGGATGCTAGTAAAGTCAGTGACAGTGTGTTTTAAGCTACCTGGTATGTTGGTCAATAAAGTCACTGAACACAAATATATTTGTAAGAGGGTGTAGGGAGATGGCCTTGTCTATATTATCAGAAATACTCTCTAGCATGCAACAGTTATGAGAGGAAGAGGAATGGTAGAGAAAGAAGAGATAGCTGACTGAGTTAAGTAGTGAGAGAGAGACACACACACACACATGTAAGAATTTTCTGGAGATTCAAGAAAGAGTTTCCTAGCCAGCAGGAAATGTTTGAGGACATAAACTCCCAAGCCATGCATGTGGACATTACAGTTCTTCCTAAGGAGAGGAAGATAGCCAGGAATCAAATCAGAGGATGGGATTGAAGAGTTAAGCTTAGTCTCACAGAGAGCTAGGATGTCCAGAGACTTTTCGGAGAGGAATGATTCCACAATGCAGAAGTTGGTACAAATACCATGAATGTTGGAGAAAGAAAGGTTGAGGGTGTTTTTGTTTTTTTTTTTTTTTTTTTTTTTTTTTTTTTTTTGAGCTGGTTTTATGTTAGGTTGCTTATAGTCATGGTGTGTTATTTTGGTACGGAAGGCCTAGGGTAGTAGTAGCAGTTGATTGTCTAATGTAGCTTGTGTGGGAAGGGAACTGGTACAGACTGCAACATAGTGTGGCTTTGGAGTTGCCTACCAGAAGTGCTTGCAGGAATACTCTTCTATACATGATCTGACACTGCAGGAACCTTGATATTATGCACCTGTTGATCAGAGCAGCCTCTCGAGATTCTATGCAAATGTTCAGACTCCGAACTACCAGTCAGTTACAGCAACCAGAAAACTGCCAATTTGGTACCCACAGCATGAAGAGAGGTTGCCACCATTTACATATATCACTAAAAATTCATAACAGCACCACTATTAAGGCCTAAGAAAATGAAAGGAAACAAGGGATGAGCCTGTACTCCTATATAAAATGATTTTAGTAAGCTTATAATTGATTTCTGACAAAACAGCTGATTATAAATTTTATTAAATCTTGGTTATTGCAAATTTTTTTTTTTTTTTTTCAACATGAGTTTACTTTGTGAGAAGTCTTCTTCATAATTTTTTACTTCTATATACAAAGCTTAAATGGTAATTACAAAGTAATAAATATTCTTATGAGCATGTTTTAATTCTGGGAAGAACTGATGGCATTTTTTATTCATCATAAATTTTAGTTATCCAACAGATTAACAAATATGGATTAGTTGATGTTTTTGCAAAATTAAGTGAATTGTGTTTATCTTTGCAAGAGAAAGTGATTTTTTTTTCAGAACAAAGATAAATGATATTGTTATCACATAAATTGCAATATTAGATTTCAGCTGTGAAACTAAATACTTTTGATTGTTTTTTTCAATTTTTAGTGTCTTTGTTCAAGTCTCTGAACTGTATTTAGGGGTTTGAAATAATGATATTAAAAATCATCTCTGCAGCTTTGAATCTGTGTATTTTTGAAATTTGTAAAACTGATAATTGAATACAAAAATTAAAGTGAATAGGATTTCTGGCAGAAGATCATAATTTAATCAAAATTAGTTTATTCAGTTAAAGGTTAAATTTGAATGAATTCTAGTAGCAATTTTCTGGTGTGATATATTTGACAAATATCTAGTAAGATATTAGAATTCTATTGTCATTTTCAACAGGATTTAAGTGAATCACCAGATGTATGTGGATTCAATTATCCAATATCAAACCAAATTTACAGAGAATACTGAAGTCCAGGAAGATTCTTTTTCTGTTTTTTAATCACTAAATTTTCTCACTAAAACAATTTGTTTTATTTTATTTCTTAGCAAAATTATGGTGATGGCAGTTATACTTATTCAAATATAGATAGGAGTTCAGCAATTTTTGAAAAATTGTATCAGGATTCTATAATTTTAAAACTTAAAAAAGAAAGTTTTGTTAACCACTGCTCTTGAAAAAAAACGTCCTAATTTGAAAATTTTTTTACTAAATCTATCGCAAAGAATTAATCATCACTTTATTTTAAACTGCATTTATAAAAGCATTAAGTTACATTTTAAATGTTTAACTTCTATACAATTTAAAATTTTATAAGAGAAATATAAAAATTAGAGGTTGTAAAATATATTAGATTCTTCTCATATGAGAGGCTACGGGGGGGAGGGGTCTTAATTCTCTTCCCAAAATCTAACCAGTCCAACTCATGGTGTAATTGACAGCCAGAACTGGAGGCCTATTTTAAATCTTATTCCACTGAGGATAATAATTTTTAGTTTCAATTTTGTTTTGTGATAGTTCACTGCTATAGTTGACTTAAATTCCATGAAACAAGTAGATTAATTTGACTCAAAAAGTTAATCCTCTTCATCTTAGTATATTTTTTCTTTTATAAGGAATTTCTAATTTTTTACAATTAATATATAATTTGGCAGCACTTCAGATCCATCACACCCACTCTGTTAACAGGGGTATGCAAAATCTTGCATGCATTTTAATCTTTGAATTAAGTATCCACCTTAAAACTGTTTTTAATGAAGCAAAAACTATATCGGAACTATGGATTTTGGAACAAAATAAACATGAAAGTAACTTAGTTATTGTTTAGAAATTATATGAATTTTTCAGTAAAACAAAATTGAGAAAAAAGTCTTTGTTAAAGCCTCTGTTAAAAATTAAACAACAAAACACTAAAATAAACTTGAGACTTTGTAATATTTGTAAGAAAGAAAACTAGAAAAAATTTTAAGGTCTTTAAATCAGATAAAATTAAAACTTGTTAGAAACAGAAATACAGATTATGCAAAAATAAAGCTGATCATTAGTGCATTTGCTTTTATGAACAAAAATTTCATAAAGAGGAATATCAAATTAAGTGTTCAAGTGAAAAATGTTAAATTGCAAGTGACAAAACCAAGATTCCTAAATTACTTTTCTTTTTGTTTTTCTTTTTGTTTTTTTTTTTTAAGTGAATTATGCACCAAAAATTTATTTTTGTACTAAACATAAAATAATATAGCAAGTCCAAAGAAAATCAAATAGTATATTTACTTCAATTAAATGAACTAAAGTCATCATAAGTGTAAAAAGCAAATATTTCTTGAGCAAACTACCACAAACTCGAACCAAAAGTAAAATTGTCGCTCCCTGTGGAGTGACAGAATTTAAATTAAGCCTTCAATTGTTCCATGCATTGGCCTTAAGTAAAGAACGCCTTGCCAGAGAACCAAACATTTCCACTTATTTGAAAAAAATAATTTATCTTAGATCCTAGTAAATAATTACTTGATGTTAAAATATTGCTGGAGTGCTAATATTATATATGCATTTTTCTATTTTAGGAATGTGCCAACTATCCTGGCTTTGTGACAGTGTTCCGTAAGGGCACTGACAGCATCAATAAAGCTGACCAACTTGACTATGAAAATTATAGACATGTCTGTCATAAATGGCATTTTCGGATAACAAAGGTAAACTTCTTCATTTTTAAAAAGGAGCAACAGCATAGTTTAGCAAAAACAGAAAATTGTAGCAGCTTGCTGTGATTAGTTATGTCTGCAAGAGAATTTTAGAAGAACTTAAGATTTGGGAAAAATTTAGCAAACCATGCACTTAACAATTTCTTTTCTTGCGGTTGTGTCAAATTAAATATGAAAATATTGCAAACAGCCTTCATATTCTTTTTTAGAACAATTATTGTAGTTATATTAGAGTATAAACTTTTTCTTTTTTTTTTCTTCTAAGGCCATGGTTGCTTGCCTTGAATCAGGGAACTATATTCAGATCAGGAATTCATTGATCATTCTCACAAAGGTAAGGTTTTTTTGTTTTTGGAAAACAAGAATTTAATAGCAAAATAAAACATTAAAATACTTCTATTCATGTAGTTATTCCATGTAAATGATGCTTGATTAACAAAATATAGAGATGAAGTTACCTTTGTTTATATCAAGTATCCTTGTTTTATGTTCAAAAGATTCAGTTTTATTTTGTCTTTATTTGTACTTATTGATTAGAATGTTAACTTAGCTTGATAAGCAAAATGCCATATAAGTATAAAATGAATGCTATAATTCCAAAATTAATCATTTCTTACATTTGATAAATTATTCAACAAAAAAATTATTTCAATTTAGCTACCAGCATGTTGTCCCATCATACTGTTTTCTTGATTTTTTTTTTTTTTTTTTTTTTTTTTTTTAAGATTCTCCCATATTATCCAAGGATAATGCAGTTTGGTCAAGCGTTGGAACGGAGAGTAAATAGAATTCGTCAGGAAGAAAAGGAGAAACGACCTGATATCTATGCTCTTGCAATGGGGTAAGACATTCTTTTTTCTTTTTTTTCTTTTTTTTTTTAAATGGATATCCTCATTAACAAATGTGAATTTTCATTCATTTTACTACATTATTGTTCTATAAAATGTAAACAATAATAATAATGTTCATTCTAGCAATGTTCTTAACAAAAACTTTGAATTATATTTATAGGTATTCAGGTCAGTTGAAGAATAAAAAGTCAATGTGGGTACCTGAACATGATTTCCACTTCAAAGACAAGGAAACAGTAAGTTTTTATATACAAATAATTTTATGGACTTCATTATTATTATTCTCATTTTCTTACACTTTAGGTACTTTTACATATGCACAATCAACATCTATAAGACTCTTGTACTTGAAAAATCACCAATATCTATATTTTAATTATTTTAATGCTTAAACTGCGTAACACATTTCTTATTTAGATTTAAATTTTTCAGAAATTTCTTTTGAATGTTTGGAACAATATAAATATATATTCAAAACACGGAACTAGTTTGAAATTTTTCTCCCTTTTTTTCTTTAACTCCTTAGCCCAAGAACCAAACAAAGACTACATCCCATTCTTCAAGACATGCTGTCTCAAGTTTCTCAGGAGATCAACTGATGAAAAAAGCTGCTGATGGTAAGTTCATTCTGATGGCAAATATCTTGAGGCTTGTAGAATGTGCCAAAAATAATTTTCTTTCAAACATTTCAAGAATGTTTCCTAAATTGATATTTGTGAAAGGAATATCACAGTGATTCATGCAATTGACATGGTTCTGCTTAATTTAATTCTTATTACAATTTATGTTCATATTATTTTACATATGTTGTGGTTGACCTATTTAATCATATATTCTACATATGCACTTTTTCTTTGCTTACATGTTCATAAAAGGCAATATATAATTATTGTTTCGTAATTATTAATATTTACTTAATTGAATGGAGAGACTAAGATTTTGGTATACTAATTTTTCAAGTAAAGAATGCATGCCTGCCTAGAAAATTAGCAATAGGTACCTTTTACTCCAGTACCATTAAAGCATCTTAGGTGCTATTGTTTGGCAACTATTATTTCTTGGTCATTGCAAAAAGAAAGAAAATTTAACTCATGGAAAGAAGACTTTTTATTGCATTAAATTTATGGTACCTCGTCTTTTTTCTTATGTCCTGAAAAACACAGATTAGTAAAGGTAATGTCTTTGTCAAAATGCCAGTTTATGCTTCATTGCAGGCTGCTTCTTTATTTATGAATGTTACTACTTGCTTTGACGATAGTAGAATATAATGAAAGACAAACTAGTTAGAAATTAAAACTAAAAACATTTCATCTAAAACTTCAGACAAGATTATAAATAAAAGCACAAAATTTAACATCTTAGTGTTTTGATTTGGTTTTTGGGAGTACATTTGAAAAATTTTCAGTCTATTTTATATTTAGAAACTAATTTGAAAATGCTAAATACAAGCCTATTGATCACAGAATATGCTTTCACTTAATTCATCTCATTCAGTTTTCAATATGTATTTATATAACATGCAGAAAACATTTAAATTAAAGAAAGCTTGTCTGTAAAATTGTGTATACTTAGCATATGTACTTTTATGTAGAATTGACTGCAATTTTAATGCTTGTAATTTTTCACTCGAGTATTCTTATCTATTTCAGCTAAAGCACGTGAGGGTAAAGAAAGCAAAGACTTAAAGAAGGAGAAAACTGAAAAGAAATTAGAAAAGCGGGATTCATCTTTAGAGGGAAGAACTAAATCAGTCCCTGCTACTGATATGAAGAAAAATGACATTGAGAAGAAACCTATTGCCAGGTAAAACTTTGAATAACTTTTCTTTTTTTTTTTTTTTTTTTTTTTTCATTTGTAAACCTGAACATAGATGGAACAAGATTTATTAGTGGTAAAATTATAAGATGCTTGCTTAATTTATTTTATTATATCTAATGAAAACTAAGCAATGGTTTGATTCAAAATGAAAAAGACCCATTTTATCAAAATTTATTTTCCTTCAAAATTTAAAAAATGTCAATTTGATCACTTTCATCAAAACATACATATATGTAGTTTCTAAAAGTCAACAAAAGAACACTTGTTTCTTTTTTTATTAAAGATCTACTAAATTAGCATCTCTTTTTCTTTCACTTTTTTTTTTCTTTTTTTTTATTTGTTGATGGGCATACCATTATCTTTACTCATATCATTTATAATTTACTACGACTTTAATATGAAATAATGGATGCCAGTGTAATTTAGTATTTCACAAATTATAATTTAATTAGTGTTCAAATGTAATATATTTTAAAATACTTTTAAAAATATGTAGTTTTTCAAGTAAAGGAGCATTTTAATCTTTTTTTTTTTTTTTTTTTTTTTTTTTGCTTGCAGTACAATGAAAGAAGACAAGGCAAATCCTAAGGACCATGGTTTAAGCAAGGAAAAATCACCTGAGAAGAATAGTGATAAAGAGAACCGACACAAGGAAGAAAAGAGGCACAGCAAGAGTCATGATGAAAAACTGGTGGCCAAAGAAAAACTGGCCGGAACAAAGGAAAAAACTGCAAGCAAAGAAAAATCTGAAGAGAAGAAGCTACGTAAGCAAGAGAAGGAAGAAGAGAAGTATGAGGAGAAGCTGAAGAAAGACAACCACCATCATCACAAGGATAAGGAAATGAGCAGCAGCAGTGTAGGCAGCAGCAGCAGTAGCAGCAGCAACAGTAGCAGGCACTCTGAAAAGGTCTCAGCTGTCATAGCAGCAGCAGGGGTTAGCTATAACCAGTATAGACGAAGTGCTGAACCCTCACCAAAACACCCAGAAGAAAGAGGTAGGATACAGCATCATTTATCTTTTCCTCTTCTCACTTCCCACCCCAACAATGTTGTACTTACTCTCAAATTAAAGAAATAGGCATATCCTATATGACATTTATTCTATGCCAGGTTATGTCAAATGCCAATACTCCCAATATCAAAACTTTTTTTGCTTCCTTTTATTTTATAGTTTACTGTTGTGGCATTAAAAACAAATTCTCACAGAACTAGCATTTATTTTTTTTATTTTTTTTTTATCTCATTAATACAATTTTACACATAGATTTTTTTCCCACATTTATAACTTAAAAGCTGTAAAATATTGAATATTTTGTGAGTAACTTTAGATTCAATCAGTACTAAAAACTAATAACTGTTAGGGAATTTGAAAATTCAGACAGCCTACTTTTTGAATTTGAACTGACACAAACACATTTAAATCATCAATTCCAAACTTTCATGTGATTGGGTGAGATATCCCAGGTACTGCTTGGACTGCTATAAATTGTACATTATCAAGGACAAATGCAAGTCTTTTGTAGTAGATCTGAAGTGGATTGGTAAGAAATGGAAGTAAAGTAAGCCTAGAGGAGTTTTTTCAAACTGACTTTCACTTAAAGTAGCAAAATATCTTTTACAAATCCAGAAAATGATGAAAAAAACTCATCTTGTATCATAAGCATTTGAATGTTGTTCTGATCACTGGTTATGAATGTAGACTAAATTTGCTGACATAATTGCAAAAATATTATTTTTGAAAAAAATTTTAAGTGTCCCACTAATGGAATAATCCACTTATTACAAAATTAACAATTAGTTAAGTTTAAAATTTCATTTATTTTTATGAAATTTTTTTGACTTAGTGAAAAAATTAAATGAAATTTTATTTTGTTTTTATTTAAAGCATCTTTCATTTTTAAAATTGCTATTTTTTTATGCAATATGATGAATTCACTTATTTCCCAAAGTAAAATTAGTAGACAAATCAACTGGATCATTTTAGCTCACCAGTCAGGTATGCATCACACAATTACATAAGCAAATGATGCAAAAATATTACTCAAAGACCTAAAAGAATTTCAAGTTAATTATTCTGAAAAAGTAGGTTTTATTGATTTATCTTGAAAATAATTTTTTAGTCAACCAAGGCTCATTTCCATATTTATTTTGCACACCTTTTGCTGTTGCAAAATAAGTGTCTTATCTTTTTAAAAATTAAATGTTTGATTGCCTACTATATGCTAAATTTAATTCTTAATCAATTTTTAAAAAGTCAGTTAACAAACTTACTATTTTAGATTTTAAAAATCACTTGTATTATTTCTATTGATTTATTGATTTTTAGCTTCAATTTATATACAAGTGAATGGAATAAAAAAGCATTTTATAATTTCATCGCTATAAATTTTTCAAAAAAACATCACATTATGTTAAGAATAAAAATATTTCAAACTTTTTACCAGTATTCTTTTATATTTTAAGAGAAGGATTTGCTTAAAATCTCTTTAGTGGGATATTGTTATATTCTAATAGCTGACCAGGACAGTACTATAGTCATTTTAGACACATCAGTATTTGAATTAATTCAGTAACCAAACTGAAAAAAATTTAACTGCTGTAGGTGGGGGGGGGGACCCTTTTCTGATATGACATCAGAAAGTTTTTACAAATCTTGAAAAGATTCCCAAGAAAGCTTTCTATTACAAATCAGTCAACTGTTGAGATTCAATTTGCCATCAACTGAGCTGGTTTCTGGTGGTTATAAGTGATCCACTTTCAGAAACATTTTTGTTCAAAATTACTTCACTAGGCTTTATACAAAAAACATCCACCATTGCATCCAAAATAAATGGTTAGTTTAGATGATTTGAATCTGTTCAAAAAAATGTTATAGTAAATAAGGCCCTGTCAGTATTAAGAGAAATTGGAGATGGATCAAATATTAATAGAATGTACCAGCATTCTCTTAAACCACCTTCCAGGAATGTTGACATTCTGTATACAGACAAAACATTTTCAGCACAAAAAAACATCCTTAGTTGTTGCTTTTTTTGTGTTGCATATATAGCTGTATGGTGTTAGGGCTACTTCTTATGAATCCAGGCAGGTGTATGATTCCTACTTTTATTAGTGATAGCTAATATCTATACTTTGAGGTTTTGGTCTAGGAACAGCACCATTAAAATTTATTTAATGTTTTCAATATGCAAATGTCAACTTCATTCTTTGGCCTTACCAATAGAATGTTCAGGAATTATTTAGATTTTTGAAATTAGATCAAAGCATCAATAAGTTCATCATGCAGAACAAATACATTCATGAAGCTAGTTTCTTAAATTTTCAAATGACTTAAAGTAATTCATATACAAGAAATCAACATACAGATTTATACTTAAACTTTGAGTTTAGAAAAAAAAGATGCATATATAAACCCAGTATGGATTTTTAACAGCATATTGAAACCATTTTTCAGAAAAGTTAATTTTAGTACCTAGAGTCTTATGTGACCATTTGAACAAATTGGTTATCGTACAATTAAGTAAGGTCAACAGAAAAGGCTAGTTACTAATTTTGCACCAATTTTTTGCAGATAAAACATTCACTAAATAGTAATTTATTATTAAAACAACACATCAAGTGGATAAAGAAAACGTTACTATCAACAGTTGCTTTAAAATGAGTCTATTCCTGAATAAGTTCATTTCACAGAATTCTTTGATCATAGCAAGCCACCAATTTTTCTTTAATTTCTAACCATTGATAATCATACCCATTGTGATATCAAATGTCATGCAATTTAACTTTGAATTTAAAAAGCTACAAAAATGACCTTTACATTACAAAATCTACATCCTGTGGTTCAGCAAGAATGAACAAGAAACATCACCAGGACAAAATAACAAGAATCAACTACTATATTTCCTGTCAACCAAGAATGGACACTTTAAAATGACCACAGGGGACATGGTTAAAACATTTTTCAAAATAGATGAAAGAATAAAGATTATTTTCAACATTGCAATTTTATTGTTAAAGCCTGCCATATAACAGGTATTTTTCTGTAGGAAGAAAAATTCTGTCACCAGAAAAAAAAGATACCAGAGAAAATATTCTCGGTGTTAAGCTTTAATGACTGGATTTGTCCTAAATAGTGTTGAAATGTTCACAAATCATCTAAAATGCTTGTTTTGTTTCATATTTTTGTAAGAACTATAGCTATCTTGTTTAGAATAATATCAGGTATCGTGACAAAAAAAGTTTTCTATTGAAAAAGCATATATTCTAGTAGTGCATAAAAAGTGCAAACATATTTATATCAAGTTGTTATATTTAAGAAAACCTGACAAGGAAATTCAAGTGTCATAAAACTGTCAGGTTGAAGTATTTATTAATGACTATTTTGAATTGCAAACTTAAAAATACCATAACTAGGTATAAGCAAATTCTATTAATCAAAGTAAGCACAACTAGGTTTGTCACAATGTTACCTACAAACTAGCCACAAATTTATTCCATAAAACTGTCAGAAGGCATTTTTGACCTAAGTTGCATTGATGTGCACTTCATGCACAAATATGCATCTAAAGACTAGAAAAAGTGGTAATCAAATCGGAACAGAACTTTGTAGCCTAATTTCATCAATTTTTGCTGAATGGTTTTTGAAGTACAAGGTTTTATACAGCACAAAAACAGATTTTGTTCCAACGTAATACCAATAAATCAAAAATTATATCTTCACTTCAAATGCATGAACATTTTAGGAAGAGATGGTAATATGAACAGAAATTATTTTTGCTAAAATCATGACTGTGACTCTTAACAGAACACTGATAATTATTCTGTATCATTTTTCAAATGGAATATATACCACATATAAGACACCTTCCCTATTGCCACTTAATATTATGGCATTAGAATAGGTATAGTACTGGTAGTCTGTGGTATTTGGCTGAATATTAAACTTTCAAATATGTCAACTTCACATATGAAATCCTGGAGATATTAGCCACTTTGTGAAAAGATCTTGTATACCATTAAATATGGTAAGTTTTTAGAATAATAAAATTCCAGTTTTTAGCTGATTTCATGTCGGCATCTAATTGCAACAAAACTGGAAATATGATTGGTGAATCTGAGTTTTCAGCTACCAATTTCCAATTATTCTGTATTTAGCACTGTTGTGTGATTTCAAAATTTAAACATGCATCACAAAGATTACAAAAAGTTGTCTTTTTTATATTTTCATTCTGATGTAAGTATAAGAACCTTTCTGCACAAATGAATATTTACCCTGCAAAAAAATGTGACTAAAACTAATATGGAATGACAGTTTAATGTAATTTTGACTTCAACTCTCGGTATATACCATTTTTGCAATTTCTTGCATAAGTATTAATTTTTATAGAAATTCTCATATTTTTTTCTGTATATTATCTAAAGGATATTTTAATTGAATTATATCATTATTCATGTGCAATAGATATGAGGTAATTTATTCATTTTAATAAATATTTGGTATTTTGGATGAAAGTAGGCAGTAAAAACGTCTTTACCAATTGAAACTGATTTTCTCTGATATTTATGGAAGTTATCTTTCCTTCCAACAATTTTAATTCAATTTTCTATACTGGAAAATTACAGGCACCTAGGTGATAATAAATTGAATTCCTTTTTAGTCAGTTTGAAAAAAAAATGTCATTTTTACTGTGTAAGTAAAAATGTAGAAATATCATGAAAAATAGTAAGATATATAAAACAAAAGGTAATGGAAATGAAGTTGAATAATGTTCCTTTTTCCAAGTTTATTTAATTTTATTCATCATAATTTAGTGATTTCCGCAATATCTTTGTGAGTAAATTACAAAAGTAAAAACAAAAATTTGCTACAGGAAAAAGTTTAGCTGGAAAAATCGAGTGTCTAAAGTTTGACCAATTTTAGAAGGTTAGGTATTGACTTATATTTATAAATATAACAATAATGAAGACATATTTAACTCAACATGTTATCAATTTAAATTAGAATTACCTAGTTCTGTGTCTAAAGAGATTTTTTTATGTAGTCAGGCTGCAATTAATGAAGCATACTGAAAATGTTTAAGATCAGTAATAATTATATAAAATACCATTTTTATTAAACCATTTGAATATTTATATATCATATCTGACAAGCCATGATTGCCCACATCCTGAAATGATAGGACACAAAAAAAAATATGACATTCACAAGTTCAAAAACAAAATGAATTGTATCATTTATAACTTCATTCAATCAAATCATAATTAAATGAGATTTTTTAAAAAAATAGGATTTGGATATTGGTAACTTTAATTACTCTACTACAATAAAAGTTATTAAAATAGGAGTACAAATTGATATTGGGAACTAGTTTAAACTTTGATGTTATAAGATAATCACATGAGAAAGGCATTAAATTGGATTTTTTACCAGTTATCTAACCATGATGTCTCTTGCAAGTTATGATAGTCAAAGAAAAATAAAATAAAACTGATACTGTAAATGTATCATTTGAATCCTATGCAAATTCAAGCCTCATTTTTCAGAATATGTATTTTTATCCAAAAAATGAGTACTTTCTCATTGCTTCTGGTTAATTTTGACTCAAAAATAAAAGTAAGTTGCTTGCATTTTTTTTTTTTCTTTAGGATCAATAAGACAAAAAACAAAATTATTTCCAAAACTTCTATTCATTTATGGTGTTATGAACAAAATTAGGAAGCTAACAAAGGAATATGTAAAAATCAGAATCAAGAATTTTGATTCAGTTGTTGCCAGTATATTTTTGACGAACATTTATGGTCAAAAGCTTGCAAACTTATTGCTGATAAATTTTATTCTAACACTATAAAATGTATTAATTAGCATTGCTCATATATTTTCTTGAATGAAACCGTATATTTACAAAACTTGACTAATATTTCATGTTATATAATATTCACTTGTAATTCTAGCGCAAATTTTATTTTTAGTAGAACTTTTTATTTTATTGATTTTGCATTGGTGTATTATAGCTACTTTATTGAATGCGTGATAGAAAATGATTATTAGTAAACACAATATTACTTTACAGATTGTTTAAACTCACAATTATTTTTCTCTTATGTAACTTATTACTCCTGCTTGTTTAACATTTAAGACTATTTATCAAGTATATATTATGGATACTGAAGAAATATTTGGAAAAGTGTTAACCTTTTTCTTTTTCCACCTCTTCTTTTTCTAATATATATACACACACACACACTTTTTTTCTGTCTGTCTGTCTCTCTCTTTTTATGATATATCACCTAATAAACTGCCAATATTGTTGACAAGTTATTGGGTATACACCCACAATCTAATACACTAAGGTAATTAATTGCTAAGCTAAATCATCCCATAAGTATTTTCATTTTGATTCTAATCCTAATATTATGCACATTATAAAAGTTTAACCTCAAATTTAATTTGTTTTTCTGTTTTGTTTTATTTTTTCTTCACAGATGTGAAACGAAGAAAGTTGGAGTCCTCATCATCCACTTCTACAAAGGTTAGTATGGATGTCTCAGATTGAGTCAGCTTCAGACAAGCTAGGGTTATAGGTGATTCTTCACAAGGAAGGAAGGAAGCGGCCATAGCTGCCTGCTTAACCTACCTGACCATCAAATTCAGCAACCAACCTGTCTACAGTGATCTGCCTCTGGGGCAGGAGGCGTTGTATAACCCAGGAGAGGAAAAATGGAAGCAGCCAATGAAGAATGTGCTGCCTTTCAGCCAGCTCCACTAATCATGCGATTCTATAATCCACAGGTGTCCAGGATTTAAAAAAAAAAATATTGGCTATGTCCAACTCAATGCAGTTTTGTGATGGAATTTGTTCAGAGAGAGAGAATGCTTTTAAAAGGTATTATGGAGAAGTCAAGCACATGCTGGGTATATGTAGTTATTACTACTACTACTAGGGAAGGTTGATTTGATGCATCTTATCAGTATATTATAATAGGCACCTGTGAAGCATATCTGCAACTTCCGGGGTATATGCGCATTCTAGCTGAATGCCCCACCTGGTGCTTGCTGTTTGATTTGCAATCCAGTTTTGCATGGTAAACATCATGGCACTGTATTGGTGTTTCTGATGAGCAGAAGGAGTCTTGCAGCCTTTACACTCAGTTTCCATAAGAAACCATTGGCGACCAACATCTTAGGTTCCAAGGCTCTCTGGGAAGTTTGTTAGAAAGATCCAGTGCAGCCTTTTCCCACTCTTCAGTTTCTGAGTCTGCACAAAGTGGCTAGCAAATCATCAAGACACAACATCCGACATTCATCATAGAGGCTTTTTGGAAATTTAAAAGGAGGAGGAGGAGAAACTAGATTAATTCAACATTTGTTTTATTTTCTGAGGTCATTTAATAAAAAGAAAAGAAATTTCATTAAAAAAAATTGTTAAAAATCTCCAGATGTTTTCATTTATGGACTGTCCCCAAGTCTTTGCTTAAAGCATGAAGAGTATAGAAAAAAAAATGATCAATTGGCAAACCTTTGAGTAGAGCAGAATATTATAAATTTATTTATTTATATATATATTTTTAACATAAAAGTAATATCCTGTCTCAACTTGATCATCCAGTCTGTTTCTGGGATGTGAAATACTACATAATTATGTGTTTATAATTATCCACATTGCAAGAAAGGTTATTATAATGATCCATGTCCTTTTCACACTGGGATAAGAAATGGAAAGATGCCGTTTTATTTATATAATACACTGCTGTTGGTTGATAAATTGAATCAATACATCCAAAAGGTTTGTGACAAAATCACAGGAAATCTAAGAAGTTAAAGGAAATGGTTGACCTTGCATCTCATCAGCCAGTTATCAGAATTGCTGGGTCAAAATTTTATATTCTCATCCCCACTCCCACTAAGGTCTTTTTATAAGTTGTAATGTTTATGGAAAATTCTAAGCCACCCTCGCTATGGCTACTACTACTAGTTCTTGAAGAATACCAGGAAAGCAACAAGCAAGCAGTTCTCATCAGTTATTCTCTCAAAGTCTTTTCTTCTAATCATATATGCCTCATAGATGACCATTATTGGATGCATACTTTACAAAAATTCATTGGAAGAGGAATTCAACTACCATAATCTATGGATCTGATGAAGAGTTTTCCAGAAACCATACAAAGATGGTGATTCCCAAATGGATGATTTATAGAAGGCTCAAGTGAAAACTGGACGAAGCCGATGATGGATTGTGGATGTTGTCAGTTCACAACAGAGCAATGATTTTCTTCCAGAAAAATAAGATTCCATTTTGCACAGAATAAATTGGGAAAATTTTACAGCCAAGAATATATATTTTTGGGGCACACTTTTTTTTATTATCATTATTATTATCATTATTATTCTTATTTTTTAAGATATTATTAAAGTGCCTCCCTGCTCTACAACATTTTAAAATGGGGAAAGGATAAAAAATATATTTCTGGATCATAGTGTTATATATATTTATATATATATATATATATATATATATATACATACATACCTATTTTTTTCCTTTTTTATTAGTTTATTTTTTTAAATTTTCTTCAGAATTAAAATATTTAAAGAAAGAAATTAAGGTATTTATGGATGATCCTTCTTTATCCCCCAAAAGATATGATGGACACTTTGCCCATTATTATTGTTAAAATGATATTAATAATTATAAATCGTATCACTCATACCAACTCATCTTCATGTTGGATTGCAATTGGCTTCTACCTCCATTAACCTGTTGGATTTATATGGGTCAAAGCAAGAGGATCATAAGTCTCGCTCTGTTTACAACTTGTCAACCACTGCCAGTACAACCACTTCCACCATCATTTCATTTTATGAACTAGTGCAAAGACTATTTTTCTGTGCTTTTCACAAAAGGAAACATTTCTTTACTTCTGCCATGCAATTAAAAAAAAATGAATGAAAGAAATTTAAGGAAAAAAAAGCAAACAGCAATTTTGATTCTTCAAGGATTTACCATTATCACATCAACAGTTGACACAGGGGTCAAGTACTGGGTTTTTGGTGACGATGATTTGTGGATTATGTTGATTCCAGAAGGTAGGTGATTGATTCAAGCTTTTATTATATTTTGATTATTTTTTTAATATTTATTAAAAGAACATGTTTTTTCTTCATTTCTTTTCATTATCTTTCAATCACATTTGCTGCATGAAAGTATTCTAATTTTTATCTATTTAGAACAAAAAAAAATGATTTTTGAAATACTTTTAATGGCTCATCCTTAAAAGTTTGAAATTAAATTCTATTTAGTGTTACATAAATCCTTTGCATGATAAAAAAAAACTTTCATTATTGCAACATTTGCTAATATTTCTCTCTTAATAACTAGTTTATTCTTTGGGATAATTCGTTAATCAAAATTTAATGTATCTAGTTTAATGTATTGTGATTTTTATTTTCTGATCTATTTTTATAGATTTTTTTATTTCTTAGAATAATATTGTTTATTGATAGAAACTCTCACTCACTCACACACACACATACATAACCAAGCTCATACTGTTTTTTTATGATGTCTATATAATCTCTACTGCACAAATTTGCTAACAAAAATTATATATTCCTCTTCTTTTTAGGTTGACTATATAGTTTTTGTTTTTCTTATTAGACACTATTAGAACTCTTTACTTTTAAATTCATATAAAATGTTTGCTATTGATTTTAAGAGGAAAGAAAATAAGCTGTATGTTTGGCATAATATACTTCCTCTTATTTTAAAAAAGATAAAAATTCAATGTAACACTCTCACCAGTCACTAAAAATAAATAAGATTTGTGCAATTTATGAAAAATTTATGCATTAAATTTATTTTGCAAAGTTGTGTATCAGAGATTTCTCATTAAACAATGCTCTACAGTCAGACCTGTTGAGGTTTGATAACAATCAAATAAATCTGTTCATATCATGAATTTCACTCACCTATATTGTATTGTTTTTTTTTTTGTTTTTTTTTTTTAATAATCAGTGTTATACAACACAATACTTGACCAGCATACTCAAAATATTCAAATGAAGCTTTGAATATCATTTTCACCAGCTTGGTTATGTTAGTTGCTTTGAAGTGTTACTTATACATAAACAAAAAAAATAATCTTATGGAACATATTCTGGTATGAGGGTTTCTAGTAGTACATCACAAAAATGTTTCATTTGTGCCAAGTCATGAAAAGTTGATACTTTACAACATTAGATATTCAAGTGAAATAAACAACCACAAATAATACCAATGGTAAATTTTCTTCCAAAGAATGTGATACTGCATAGATGGTTAGATAACTATAAGTTCTTTCTGAAGAAGCAAATTATTGACTTAAAGCACATACTGTTCCCATTTAGACCATCTAATAGTCAGAATCAACAAAAGCACTCACAATTAATTAAAAGATAGAGCATAATATTCCACCAAGATATTCTTTGGCGATCATGTATGTTGCAGCTTGGTTGAAAATTTTCATTGTACTTTTGAATTATCATTTGCATTATTCTATTCTCCTCCCTCCTCTCTCTTAGATAAAACATTCTGGGAGTATAGATTTATGAAGTTATAAAGCTAATGCTAAAAAAAATTTTAAAAATTGTCTTATATTCTTAATAATTTTAAGGAACTTTTTGGGTGACTTATCATTTCAAACAAAATTTGATATTACATTACAAAATCAGTAATTTTTTTAAAGTTTACTTATATTATAAGTTAAACTAATAAATCCTGTTTATTTTGTCCATTTTTGTGTGTAATGAAGGTTAAGTATCTCTGCTTCTCTCTTTGATAAAAAAAAAACATTCTTTTAAAATTAGAAATTATCTTTTCCATTCGGACTAAATTCTGATTCATACTTTTTGATAGTAGGTTCCTTCATATTACATCACCATCTCTGTAGAGCATAGAGCCAAATATATTGATGAATTTAGTTATAGTTTATTTTTATTCAATCTTTTAAAACTACTCCAATCTCTAATCACTTGTCAGAGAATAATTTTGTTCTTTTTATTAACCCTACTATCCCAGAAATGGAGCCTTATCTCAGAATAATATGTATTCAGAAGTAACAGTTGACAAATTTCAAAATCTGTGTTATTTTACAGAACTCATATAGAAATCTCATAATAGGTGTTACATTTAATGTGTAAAATATATTATAAAAATAAAATTCATAATTCACTGGAAGCATCTGGAAATTAGTGCAGAATTTACTTACCTAAGAGACTTGTGCAGCATAAACTCTTAGTAACACTTTAAGGTTTAGACATTTTTGCTGGCAAATTTCTTCTTGAAAATATTTTTTATTGCTTTAATATATTTAATAGTATATACATTCCATATCCAGTTGTGAAAACAGTTAAAATTTGTAATATTTTAGTAATGAATGTTAATTGAAAATTTCTGTTTTGTTTGTTTTTTTTGTGTATTTTTGTTATAACCTACAAAGGGTTATTGAATGAGGAATAACCAAAACAGAGACTGGAAATAAAATGGTAATCTTT